TTAAACACACGTCAGTTAAGACTTTTAGCTCAATATTCTCATGCTTCTATTGGGAAAGCAACGGTTTAAAAGCCAAAATTATTTTGCGCGGCAATGTAGGCTGCTATAAAATGTCAGCCAGGCGGTTTCTTTTGAAGTCTGGCTGTGAAAAACTTTTTTTTTTGAGTTTGAAATAAGCCTTCATAAGGACTATTGTGTAGAAATGTTATCTATATGGCTCATATGAAAAAGATAACCTAATATTCAGGTATTCCACACAGCTATAAAAGGGTGAAATAAGAACTTTCATCTTTGGTTGTTTGTCAGACGTGAGAAACCACATTAGTGCCATTTTGTCGCGAGTGCTATTTTATAAAATAAACACCTCAAAACCATAAACTTTTAGTTCAGAAAATTACAAAGTTTCCCATAGACATTATTAAAAATGTTCTAGTGAAGCGATTTCATGATAAATAAGTGAGCAATGGGCCCAAATGAACTGCTAAGGTTGGTTTTCGTTAGGACTTCAATTTCATGGCTTCCCGCAAAGGAAGCCATTTCAGAGAGAAGCGACATTTTGCAAACAACCGTCGCGACCTATTTTGATAACTTTTCCTTCTGATTCAACGTGTAGTTACTAGAAAATGATGTTGCATCAAACATTATTATCTGCTTTATCGATTTAAAGTTTTATAGGGGATATTAAAAAACAGTAAAAATGCATTTTGAAAGCTTGACAACTCAAGTGCGGATTTTTTTAATATTCGCACGCGGCAAGCAAGCGCGTTTATTCAATACACTTATTTTACAGCACAATACGTCTGAAACAAGTTGTCATTTTAACACTAAATTGATGAAAATAGATATAACAGTGATTTTGGAATATCCTACTTATTTAGTGTAATTTAATACTCGAAGTATTCTTGCCAAAAAGGTCGAAAAGGTCACGTACGCACACAGTAAGTGTCGTTTGAAATATACTTTAGCTAAAATAACAACTTGAACAAGAAGACCAACAATGGGGTCACAAAAACAGTCGAAATTGCACCCAAATTTGCATAAACAGTTCGTCTAAAAAGATAACTTTAAACTAGATTCAACCAACATTAATGCAGTCGAATTTTGTGAGTGTTTGATCACATATTTCTACTCAAAAATACCCTTTAAAAAATCGTATCTGCTCACTTGAGTTCTGTGTTCATCTTTCTTGTGATTTCCGACTTCTATTTTTAATAAAGTTTGGAGAAATCCTCATCTTTTTGGCTGAAAATCTCGCAAATGGTTCACAGAAGAACTTGGCCCCAAAACATCAATACATTCGCTTTCCTTGCATGCCAAATTTTCGTTGTAGATGATTCAAAAACCTCTTCTTTTTCGTCTTTTAAAACTTGCTGTGAAATCCGTCTTTGCAACAATGTCGCCATTATTCATTATTTTTGAAAAACTAAGGTTTTAGACTTGAAAAACTTTGCGAGTTTTTGGCCGATTTTCTTGCATGATACATCGTTGAAAAGTTCGAATTTCGCGTTCTATTTTCGTATCCGTTGCTAGGCAACCCGATAAACATGTGCTCAAATATCATGCCCGCAAGTCGAGGTGTCATTTGAGGGCGTATGCGGGCGCATTGCCAGTTACCCACTTGCCAATCTCAGGGTGTATCCGGGCGCATTGCCAGTTAATGAGTTAAAAGATCCAAGTATTAAACAAACAGGCAACATAAAATATTTAGATGTGATGATAGATTCCCATCTTAGTTGGAAAGCGCAATCATTATTTGTTAGCAATAAAATAAAATGTAATATTGGAATGACGTAAAAAATCTGCCACTTTGTTGACATTAGTATACTTATAAGTTTGTATTATGCATTAATATATCCATTCTTAATATATGGACTGATACAATGGCGCAACACATATCCCTGGACTATTAAACCTCTACTTCTTTAATCAGGAAAACGTCATCCGACTTATGACTTTCTCTGGCTACCATGACCATACTAACCCTCTCTTTATGCAAGTAAAGATCATCAAACACAATGACCTCGTTTATCTGCAGAATGCTATATTTGCATATAATCTTTATTCAGGCAAATTGCCCCAGGCATTTGACTGATGAAGACGTTAAAAATTTGAGCATGTCAAAGTTTAAAGAACACTTGAAAAATTCAATTCTCTTGTCATATCGAAATGTGTGCTCATACTCCCTAGGGTTTTGTTGCTATTTTCAATATATGCTTCAGTAGTATAAGCCACAATTAATTGCACACAATTGTTTTGCTAATGTTATCATAATTCATCTTTCATGATATTGTATACTATCATCTATATTTACCTTTTTTACACTAATTCCTACATTTTCTAACATTACTAATTTTACTATTCCTACTGTATTACTACCACCATTTTGTTCTGCTAATTTAAAATATTTCACTAGACCTATTTATGCAAATTATATTGTACAGCTATTAAACTGTAATTATAATTGTAATATCTGGTACTCGATAAATTTTCATTGTCATTTTAGAGAGCTGTGTAGTGTGCTAGGAAATAAGTAAACATTTCAGCAGTCAAATAAACTGTCATATCAACCTGTAGAACACATCCAAAGATTCACTGCTGTGTAATCAATCAAAAAATGTAATCCTCATTAGCAACTATTTGGAAGGTTTTCTAACATGACGATATGAAAGAAGCAGCCCTAGTGGACCTTATATAAGATAATAAAATGCTTGACCCATTTTGTTTACACACGCTGATATTCTGCTTTGCATTTCGGCATTTGTCGATGTTTGAACCTTTTTTTTTCTGTACTGGTTAATTTATTCAATGTGCTTGTTAGCCGGCACCCTGCCTGCAAACCGCCGGCTTCAACACAGACCTATTTCATATGTAATGGTAATACATAACTTCAGAAAGACCCAGGATGGGCTCCTGTGGCAATGAATGTAAATTTTTGTTTGTCAGCATCACTTTAATATCAACATCATAATTGTGCAAACAAATGTGCATAGTTGAAAAACAAAACAAGCTTTAAACTATGGGCATCTGGCCACTGAAATAAAACCACTCTTTTTATATCATAGGATATGTTATAATATTATTTAAGTTGTTCATCAAAGTATAATATTTCACAACATTTCACTTCTTGCTCAACTGGATTAAGGTTTGCAAGTAAATAATTGGTCAGCGTCAATGATTTTTTTGTTCTTCTGATATACTTGATTTTCACATTTTTGCTGATGATTCAAACCCTTTTCTATGCTAATAAAAGTCTAGTTCATCTTGAATCAATTGTTAATAATGAACTTAACCATACTGATGAGTGACTTTGTGCCAATAAGTTATCATTATAAATATAGCCCAATCTAATTTTGTTATTTTCCATCCACCCCAAAAAGTCCTTCCTTTTATGGTAAAATTAACATTAAAACATCCAAGTATTAAACAAGCAGATACAATAAAATATTTAGATGTCATGATAGATTCCCATCTTAGTTGGAAATTGCAATCATTATTTGTTAGCAATAAAATAAAACGTAATATTGGAATGACGTAAAAAATCCGCCACTTTGTTGACATTAGTATACTTATAAGTTTGTATTATGCATTAATATATCCATTCTTAATATATGGACTGATAGAATGGCAAAACACATATCCCTGAACTATTAAACCTCTACTTCTTTAATCAGGAAAAGGTCATCCGACTTACGACTTTCTCTGGCTACCATGACCATACTAACCCTCTCTTTATGCAACTAAAGATCATCAAACACAATGACCTCGTTTATCTGCAGAATGCTATATTTGCGTATATAATCTTTATTCAGGCAAATTGCCCCAGGCATTTGATAAATATTTTATTTCTGTAAATCAACATCATAATTATAATACCAGACATGCTTCAAGGTCAATCATACTTATACTTCCAAAAATAAGAATGAATTATGGAAAGTTCAATATTAGATTTATTGGTGCAAAGGTATGGAATTCGATTGATGAAGACGTTAAAAATTTGAGCATGTCGAAGTTTAAAGAACACTTGAAAAATTCAATTCTCTTGTCATATCAAAATGAATGATCATACTCCCCGGGATTTTGTTGCTATTTTCAATATATGCTTTAGTAGTATAAATAACAGTTGATTGCATGCAATTCTTTTGCTAATGTTATCATAATTCATCTTTCATGATATTGTATACTATCATCTATATATACCTTTTTTACACTAATTCCTACATTTTCTAAGATTACTAGTCAACCTGTCGAACACATCCAAAGATTCACTGCTGTGTAATCAATCAAAAAAGTAATCCTCATTAACAACTATTTGGAAGGTTTTCTAACATGACAATATGAAAGAAGTGGCCCTTGTGGAACTTATATAAAATAACAAAATGCTTGACCATTTTGTTTACACACACTGATATTGTGCTATTTGTCGATGTTAGAACCTTTATTATTTTCTCTGTTTAATTTATTCAATGTGCTCGTTAGCCGGCACCCAGCCTGCAATCCTTCAACATGGAACTATTTCACATGTAATGCTAATACATAACTTCAGAAAGACTCAGGATGGGCTCCTGTGGCAATGAATGCAAATTTTTCTTTGTCAGCATCACTTTAATAATATCACGTCATAATTGTGCGAACAAATGTGCAAGTAGTGTTGTGTATATATGTATAAAAACAATGTGGGGGGTGTGAACTTATTTGGATCTACTATAGAATAGTATGGGGAAAAGTTATTTTTAGATGGTCTTGCTTGGTTGTGTAGTTGTTACGTTATTAGTCATGACAGTGGAATATAAATAAACAATAAGACGAATTACAGTTTCTCTTTTAATACTTTGCTTTACAGAAGTAGAATACAACAACATGGTTGGGGATCACATGATCTGTTCATCACTGATCTCTCTATATAAGTTTGTCTGGATGAATGTTTATTCACTAACACCCCCACTTAAACATAGAACAGTTACTTTTATATATAGTATAAATATCAACAACATTACACTAAATCAAGTTGATACTCCTGGTATAATAGGAACAAACGTTTTTATTCTTGGGCCTGATATTGGTTTGGTAAATATATCAGCTAAGTTATCTTTTGATGTTACATAGAATAAATGAAGGAGACCTCTCTGAACTTCCGATCTTAGAAAAGTGATAACGTATATCAATATGTTTTGATCTGTGGTGCTGAACAGGGTTTTTTCCAAGGCTAAAGCTCCCTGATTGTCACAGTGAAGTGTCACTGGAGTAAACTTAATTTTAACCGTATCCTCCAACAGCTGAGAAAGAAACTTACCTTCCTGAACAGCTGAAGCTAAAGACATATATTCAGCTGTACATGTGGATAAAGCAACTGTAGGTTGCTTTCTACTCTCCCAGGAAATCAAAGGACCTTTGCTACAAAGGTGGAAACCGTACCCGGTTATACTGCATCTATCTTCTGACGCACCCCAATCAGCATCACTACCAACTACCAACTACCAACTAAGTGCAGTGGCTCATCAGCTTTCCTGAAGATTAGGCTTCTGTTAGCTGTGCCCTTGAGATATCTCAATACATGCTTTGCAGTGTTTATGTGACTCATGGTTGGTGCTGACAAATATTGTGAAAGTTTCATTACACTACAACAAAGATCTGGCCTAGTTGCAGTCATTATGTAAACAAGACTGCCTATGATTTCTCTGTACAATCTGTTATCAGTTGGCACTGAATTTTCCTCACTTACCTTATGTGAGTTAATCTCACATGGAGTGGATCTGGGTTTGCAATTTTCCATTACTGAATTTCGACAATAGTCTTTCAATGTATTTTGTTTGGTTCATCTTAATTACTCCCTGTTCACATATAAATTCTATGCGTAAAAACCATGATAATTTCCCCATATCTTTCATTTGAAATCTCTTACCTAGATTACCTTTCACATTTGTTAGCATAACTGTGCAATTTGATGTAATTATCATCAACCCAAATTATCACAATGGTCATCGACTTACCTGAAATTTTGGTGTAAACACAACTATCTGATTGTGACTGAATAAACCCTTCTAACTAAATGGGAATGTAGCACACTATTCCAATTACGACCACTTTGCTTCAGTCCGTATAAGGATTTTCTAAGTTTGTAAACAAGATACTCACCATCTTTTCCTGTTATAGTAAAACCTTCAGGTTGTTCAACATATAACTCACAGTCAATAGGTGCGTTCAGATATGCTGTTTTCACATCCATTTGATGTATTGTCAGATTGTATTGCACCACTAATTGCATTAGGATTCTAATAGATGTCATTCTTGCAGTGGGTGAGAAGGTTTCATGATAATCAACACCTGGTATTTGCAAATATCCCTTGGCTACAAAACGGGCTTTGTACTTCTCTTCCCCATTAGGGTCAGTTTTAATGGCATAAACCCATCTTCCCCCCACTGTATTTCTATTTTCAGGCTTTGTGGTAAGTTCAAATGTGTCATTTTCCCTTAATGGATACATTTCATCCTCCATGGGGCGAGGATATTGAGGAAAATGAGGCGAGGATATTGCCTCCTGGTACGTTTTCAGTACATCTGATATATTACAGCAGTAATCAACTGTGAAATTGATGTGGTTGTTCTCATCGACTTCGTCACTATCAACATATTGCTCTAAATACTTTGCTGGCTTTGCCCGGTTACGACTAAGGGTACCTAGTTTCTGGTAATTGGACATTCCCACCCTCATCATTAATGGCAGTTGAGTTGAGATCACCAATATCATTATTTAAATCACTTACTGGATTTGGGGGAACTACATGATTCTCGTTTTCATTTGTCGGTTGGGGATCTGATGGACAAGGTGGTAAGCTAACAATCATTTCATCCTCAATATTTAATTGAGGGCTTTCTTCTGTATTCTTGTCATTTCCAAATTTATCAGCGAAACGAACAGAACAGATTCTCTTAATCGATCCTGTTTCTGGAAAATATACAAGGTAGGCTGGGCTTCCCTTATCATACCCTTACTGGGCCCATAACCTGTTACATTATTAGTCATGACAGTGGAACATAAACAATAAGACGAATTACAGTTTCTCTTTTAATACTTTGTTTTACAGAAGTAGAATACAACAACGTGATTGGGGGTCACATGATCTGTTCATCACTGATCTCTCTAAATAAGTTTGTCCGGATGAATGGTTATTTACTAACAGTAGTGCTGTACGGACGGGGGGGGGGGTTGTTGATCATGTGGCCTCTGTCCCAAAAGAGTCTACAAAAGGGTTGTGTTGATTTCAATTTACGGACTTGCTTTATGCAATAATTTACTTATTTTAGTACACTCATTCTAGCTGTGGTGATTTATTTGCATCAAGGCCGGATTTTGAGGGGAGGTGTGGAGAAGTGCACACTTCCCTTGAGGATTTTTGCACCTCTCCTGAAAGGTCATGCACCTCCCCTTGGGAAAGTTTCAATGATAGAACAAAGTGAAAATGTGATGGTTGCTTAGGATCTACACTTTGTGATGTAAGAAAGTTTTCTCTATAAAATTGAAACAGTGATAGCCATTCATGTCTGTGTGAAGTACCCTTTTAATGCAATGTTTTGAAAGAAACTTTGTAGCAATTGAATATGATATTCGAGTCACGAAGGCCACATCATTTATTGTCTTAAAGGGCTAAATTTATACGTCATAAAGCGTTAAATTTATAGTTTAGTAACTGATTTATATGAATGTGGTTGAAGACAATAATATAGATATTTAATATACACTACATAAAACAACACTAACAAAGTAACTATATTAAAATTGTAGATAAAGACAATGTCATTAAAAATACAGTTATTCTTTCCATATATTGTATCTTATACTTACCTTCAAAATGTGCAAATTTTTCAGTGAGATATTGTGTGCCTTGTTTATATTTGTATCTATTTCATAATTCTACTTCTGGATGGCACGTACTTCTCATTGAAATGTAATTTTGTTTGTAAGACTGTTGGTAGCTCTCTCTCCGCCTGTGGAAAAGCTATTCCCACAGAATGCATGTATTTTATTATAAAGATATATAGGTTCAACTGATTAAGCAAAGATGACTACATCTTCTTAACCTGCCAGCAAAAGATGATTGCATCTTTCTGACACAAGAGTTTCCGCTAAAATTGTTCTTTATAATACAAACACAAAGGTTTGTTTTAGCATTAATAATATACATAAAGATATTGCTCTACTGTGATTGGTTGATTTCAGTGCAGCTAATCCCAAACAGCAGTGCAATTTTCTGTAATCATAGTGGAATTTTTTGTAATCTCAGTGCAAAAATCTGTAACAAACTGATCTGATTGGTGGAAAAACATTGTGATGATTAAATCAACCAATCAGTTTAAAGCAATTTAGTTTAAAAAGTAACAGTCAGAGATTGCTTCAAAACAAAACAAACATGGTGCCGCACTACACAAAGTAAAAGTTGTCTTCATATGGAAAATGTAGCTTTTATCTTTATTTTTAAATGGAAAAGCATTTACCTTAAAGTGTATATGCAAAAAATTATGAAAAAAATTAAAATTTCGAAATTTGGAAAGATAAAAATGTTTTGTTAGTAAAAGCACTCTGAAAGTGTGACGTATGCAGTGTGACAGATCAAAATGTTTACTTGCATGAAAACTACAAAATATCACTAATCGCAAGACAATAGCTTGTATATTTCTTCTAAATAACACAAAAAATGTCCGATAACAAAAACTTTCGATCACAGACAGATTCAGAACAGTCAATAGATAACAAGGATGTTGTTGAGCAATCGTCTGTTGTTCAACCCTATCAGTTCGAGCCTGTTGCTAATAGTGACTATGAGGAAGACGAAACAGATTAAGATGGTATTCTGCGAGAAACTGTTGAGGCGAGATTTATGAAAACCGTAGCTGTTAGTTCATGGTAAGTTGAACAAAGCAGTCGAATATCTAAGCGTTCTTGCATTATTTATTAGCGTGTTTTGTTTGACATGTGAATATTGATTTTAGGTGCACATGTGGGCATTGCAGTGATGCTTTGTTAGACGATACGAGGGAGTACCAGTGTTGTAAAGAGATACTGGAATGTATAGGCAAATTCACGCACGATGGAAAAGACGCTGAATGTATAACACAGCACTGGGACTATCCTAAATGTATAACACAGCACTGGGACTATCCTGAATGTATAACACAGCACTGGGACTATCCTATTATTACGCATCGAACAGTACTAGATTAATATGAAACTAGTACTAGAGACTGCAGGAGCTTTTCTGTCTGATAAGACAGGGAAAAAATATTGCAAACCAACAAGCAGAACTCAAGACTGGCAAAATGAGTAAGTCAAACTAATTTCACTTAATTTTTGTCAGTTTTCATCAGCATTTTCTATATATTTGCAATCATTGCAAAGGGTTGTATTTTGTAAGATTTTGAAACATGTATTTTAATGTATGCCTTTGAATATTTTGAAATATAGAAACAAAGTGTGTAACAGTACCATCTTTAATTATAGGAGGGTAGGGCATATGTGGGGCATTTGATTTTGTATGCAATTTGTTGGTCAAATTCCCTGGCATGGGGAAGCAAATATCAGTTAAGTGTTATCAAATGCCTCACTATTGGGCACACATATTTGTGGTGAAAGGCTTGAAAGTCATTTGTCCCAGTCCTGAACACATGCTCTTCCTCAGGATGCAAGATGGTGCCCAATTCAAATATCCTCACCTTTGGGAGATGGTGTCGATCAAATTCCTGAGGGTGGGGAAACAAAAATCTATCAAATACCCCACATATGCCCAACCTTTCCCTGGGACTTAACATTGATAGGTGCGTTAATCTTTACATATCTTCGTGCAGTGGCATATCAGTGGATAGTGAGATGTATATTCGGCATGCTTGGATGGGAGAACTCTAGACCGCTTCCAGCATGCCTGTATAATGAAATCAGGAAGAGGTATCCATCTCAAAGCACCACTGGATATAAATCATCACAGCAGAGAACACAATAAAAGGTGGATACTATGTATATAAATTTTATATTATAATTTTATTACATATATTCTAACTTTTAATTAAAATAAATTATGAACTTTTTAATATCCCTTGGTTAATTGTTTAGCTGACCGGCTGTGTTTGATTGACAAGTATCCTTTTGATGTCCTTTCATTGGCTCACCACACTTTTTGCAGCATGGTGCCTTACGCTTCTTTTTCTGTTTGTTGGCAATAATTTCTTTTTCTTTTGTTATCAGGTGGTCTTGAGTTTCAACTAAACAAAGCATATGATACTTTATTGTTATAATAACATCGATTATTCACTAGCTCCCTTTCCTTTGGCAAAACTAGGACGGGCATATTATCAGTAGACCTTACAGATTTATAGTATGATTTACCTGACGGAAATAACTTGGTTTTTCCCCTTTCCTCTGTGCCTGGTTTCTAATAGCTTCCTCTTTAGTTCTGCGAGCAGAGAATTGGCTTGTCAGTGAATTGGGTTCTTTGGCCTTGTCATATGTTTTATTTAGATCTGCCTCATTGCAATGATGGAGAAGTTCTCGGCACATTTCATCTACATAACCTAGAGAAAGTGTTATAAATAAAACTAATTAAAACATATTACATATACATGTACCAGCATTTATACAAGGATTCATAACACTTCACATACCATATGTTGCTGGGACAGCAATCTCTCGGACCATTTCCTCCCCTAATTTAAACTTTGGGTAGGTTACCCGTATATATGGAGTCCCCGTCTTAGAGGTCTTTGTCTCTCTATGAACATTCTCATTAAAGTGCAGGCATGCTAGGATGTGTCTAAAGGTAACCAATGACCAATCCATTATGTTGAATATACTAATGAGATGTAAGTTTCATTACTAGCTTGCAGTACTGACCTGCAGTACGTCCCTAACCAAGAAAAGCATATCATTTTGGGATGCCAATGATTCAGTACTGAATGGAATCCTTCCAAGGAGCTGGTTTGGACCACAGGTGAAAGCTTCTTGATATCTTTGACCAGGGTTGTCTTTGTTAGGATATTTTTGAGTTTCTGATAGGGTTTTGATCCTTGAAAATTGGGCATTAAGACATTGATACATTAAATGAGTTTATTTTAAATAATTTAATACTCATTTTTGAGAAGAAAAGTGTCATATGACTAACCGACTTTTATCCACTTCTTAGTTTCAGTAAGATCACCATGATAACACTTGTCATACAATGTATTTGGATGCCCATCATGCTCAATATTGACATGCCTCATAAACAACAACCACTTTGCTTCTATAAGGGCTGAAAACCCAGCTTTGGATGATGTAGCACACCAGTATAAATGATTCCTGATGGATTTCGCCCACTCTGCTAGTATCTCACAGCCTTTCTCCTTGCTTGCTTTCAAAACCTTCTTCACTGTCGACTTAGCTTGGTGCCATATGTCGTAGTAGTGAGTAGTATTTCTTAATTTGCATGGTTCTCATCCACTTACCTATACCACGGTGACAATCGGACACAAATGTCTTAATAGGAAGCTTCTCCTTGCCTTTTATCTCATCAAACGAGCATTTGGCACCTTCCAACTCCATTTTATTGCTGCTTCCAACCTTGTTTGCCTGTAAACAAAATTTCGCCATTCAGTGTTTCATTTAATAAGGAAATGTCCTGAAGTAGAATAATATAATAATGAGGTGGGTGTGGGTTTCACGAAACACAGTCATAATCAATACAAAACAAAACATAATTTAAAAATAAGCATAATTGAACTCACAATGTGACAAAAAATAACGATTAGTTTTAAGGAAATTCAGTTATCCCAAATCATCTTGAAATTGTGTTTTGTAAATCAATATGCTTATCTTTGGATTATGTTTTATTTTTGTATACAATATGGCATCAAAAGGATTATTCAAACTACCTGAAGTAGCTCAAAATGTACAAGTTTAGTCAAGTTACAATTCAACATTGTATAGCATCCATATTTTGTGCTGTGGCCCATGCTATCAAATCTTCCGTCTCCAGCCCAAACACTGTCCTTTATTCCCTTTAACTGATTAATTAACGCAGCTTGAGATTTTTCCCAGCATTGAAGTATTAAGGGGAACATAAACTCTCTTTGATGACAAAAAAGGTCCTTAATTGCAGTATATTTTGAGGCCCAGGTGTCTAAAGAGTAGCAGAACTTTGCTAATCGAGGATCCAGACATAAGAATAGCAAATCTCAGCAAAATATTGCCAGCAGGATACTTTCCCAAAACCAATGGCGGACTTCACATATAACAGCCTTTGCATGATTTACATGTTTCTTCCACTATTGCTATTGTTCCACAAACTTTCACATTAATGCTTGGTGATCCTGCCTTGCAGTCAAAGCAGAACAATGAAAATAGTGAAACCAACATACTGTAGAACAAATTATGAATTTTGGTTCTGTGTCAGCCAATCTATTAGAGAAAAGACAATATGAGTAGTTTTTTAAACTAGTAATTCAGTATGTTTCCAGATTTCTGGAGTCTTTTATCAGTAAGTATAGCTTAATACAGTGTGGGAGTTCAGGAATGGAAACGTACCTCACATCCTGTGATGTGTTCTCCCGTACTTCTTCTTCATTGAGCTCATCATCATCTGATGAGTCTGTTTCTTCATCTTCCATATTGGCATTCCAGTCCAGATCTTTTATTCTATCAGTCAAATCGTCTTCCAAACTGTTTCCCGGTGATCCATCTTCATCATTCCAAGCCTCCAAGATACCTATATCTTCACCCGTTTTGTTCTTGTTCTCACTGCTACTCTCATCGTCAGATGAACTGGAAGACACCTCTTGTCGCAGGGATTCAATTATCTAGAAGAACAAGAAATATGATAAATCAGTTTTTTGTTCATATTTTGTGAATTTAACTTATGTAGTTGTTCCTAAAATATGTTCCTACAAGAAATATAACTACGCCATGCCCGCTTCCACACAATCACGCAGCTATAACCTACCTTTTTGAGGTTTATATTCTCCTTTTTGAAACCCGTTATTCGCCTATTTCTATCTAAAAGTCGCCTATTTCTATCTAAAAGTCTTTTATTTGATCGAATTTTGTGTAAATATTCAATTCTCTCCTTTTCCTGGCCACATGTGGCACAAGAAAGCGATCCATAGAACTCATGACATACTGAATGTGTTTATATTATAAAGATCTAGGTTCAACTGATTAACTCAATTTGATCCACCAATATTGATTTCCGACGTATATGACGGGAAGATTAAATATTAAAGAACTTTTATTTTTATTTATTCATTTTGTCACACACATTAAAGATATACATTTACGTAGAGGTAACAATAACAATAACTAGAAAATGCTGTGACAGGAGAAGAAAACAGAAACTAAATTCCAATTGATATTCGACCCCTTAACAATTAATGGATAACAAGACGTACTAGGACAATTATGCACGAACATATCACAGATTACATGCAACTTAACATATAGGATACTGTACAACAAATTTTATAACAAAATTATCTATGGTGGTATGTAGGTAAACAGTTTGGCTTTGTAATAAGATTGTAGATGGTGCTTGAAGATCTGTAGGGAATAATGGGCGGCTTTGATGTTTGGTGGTAGATTGTTCCAGAGGATGACAGTGCGTGGGAAATAGGATTGTCGGAAGAATTCTTGATTATTGGAGACGATTATGTTATAGTTGTTAGGGTCAAAGTTGCATGTGGCATAGGGGTTAGTTGCAGGTGTAAGGTATTGGTTAAAGGTGACATTAATAAGGGGTTGTATTTGATTTTGTATAATAGTGTTAGGTCAAAGTTCATGCCTGTGTTCAAGTGGGAGAAAGTTTAAGGATATTAAGTCTGTGAGTATTTGCAGTAGAAATACGAAAATACCACCAAAAAATTCCGCTTGAACGATATTATATATTCTGATATTATATATTATATTTGTATCTTTCATTGTTTCTTGCTCAATTGAAAGCGAATTTCTTACCTTGAAACGTTCACTGTGGTAAAATTTATGCAAATTACGCATTACCAATTTCGTTGTTGCGTTATCCATGTTCAAGCATTTGTATCTTCGCTTCTTTTCAACGTAGAATAAAGACAAATATACTAAAAGAATCACCATCTTGCATTCTATAGCTTGGAGCAGTCTCGGGAAATTGCAAAATAATCTATGCCTATTATGGCGATTCTCATGGTCGGAAAGTGTTTGGCCAACTTCGGGCACCAAATTATTGGTAAAGCATTAGAGTTTCCTGGTAAAAGACTGCAGAAATCACTCCCGGAGTGTTTGTTTACCCTAGATACAGATTTTGATTGGCTTAGGCAATTTTCCTGATCTCAAATATCGCGCACGAGCGTTGTAAATGTATTGCCGCATTGTACGAATGGCATCTCTCAAATGTCAAGACGTTTCTTGACTTTATTTTGCAATCTGATAGTGCTAGTGAAGATGGAATGTTTTTGGACAAAGAAAAGTATCGTAACCTCCATTGGGAGTTGTGTCTGGAGTTCCAAGGCAAGTATTTTGATCGTTTCTAGACATTCCGTTTCAATGTTTTGCCGTTGCCATGACGTTGTAAATTATTTGCATTTAGTAGCGTCACTAGTATGTCCTCATATCGCTTTTTTGTGTTGAATTAATCCTTCCACACCGAATTTGACAAATATAAATGGTATTTATCATATTGTTGATGAAAATTTATGGTATTTTAGGCATAAAAAAGTAGAAAACCCTGATTCCTAGGCAAAGTAAAATGAGCCTTGAGCACATGTTTGATTGTTTGTTGCATACATAACAGACTGGTCAAGTATTTATATATCTTACTATATAAAACCCTTACAAAAATTTCCTATAGGAATTTTTCCTACTGAATCCCATTGAATCACATTGCGCCCTGATGCACCCTACTTCTATAGGAATTCCTATAGGAAAAATTCCCATAGGAATTTGTCCCAGCTTCTTATAGGAATTTTTCCTATAGGAAGAATTTAATAGGAAAAATTTCTATAAGAATTCTCAAGTCTAGTTCCAAATTATTATAGGAATTTCCTATAAGAAAATAATTCATCCTAATTTCCTATATCTTATTTTGGATATTCCTGTAGAAATTCTAGAATCTAGATGAAATAGTAAATGAGACATAATGTTGCTTGTGTGTTGTTACTCTGAGTGTATATCCACACTGGGCAGGCTTGAAAAATATGCCTGGCCACGGTGGGATTCGAACCTACGAGCTTTGGAATACTAGCCCAATGCTCTGCCAACTGAGCTATGTGGTATGTGGAGCTATGTGGTTGCTGTTGATATTTTGTATACCTTTTAATTACTGCATTTGAGGCAACAGGGGGGGTATCAATTTTTTCCACCCAGGCAAAGGGGATCACTATTTTTCCACATATTTGAGGGGGGATATACAAAATAAACTCAACTGTTGTCAAATTCCTGCTATCCCCCCTTTCCATTTTTAATGACCGCAGCCTAAAAACACCCTGTACTATTAAATATGAAGACAACAATAACCGGTGTTACTCAAAACAACATTATTACTTATATCTGCATGGGTCAATATATTGCATGAAAATAGATACGGTGTTTATCAAAGTTTAAGTTGTAGACATTAGTTAATGAATAATGTAAAGTACATAAAGATGTACATTTTAAAGTGCCTCAATAAAGGTACTACATGTAATAATACTAAATAAAACAGGATAATTCCAACCAGGTGTATGTAATATAAAGTCTAAATTAATGGTTACCTTTTGGTGCCATTATGTTTCATAAACTATGTATATCCTCAATTTGTGCTGTAATAGTTAAACAGTGAATAAATATATGTTTTCCTAATTTTATCAACCTGGTAGGGTTTTTTATCTAACTATGAGAGGGAAGACATTTGCTGAACACAATGACTACTGAGCGTTATTCCTTAAAGTAGACACAAGAGGTTAAAATGAATCCTACCAGTACTGGAACGGACAAATGCTGAATATCATTAACAGGGTTCTGGTGCATACCATCGTAATCATACCATTTTCCTTGATAGAAGAATCTGCCATTGTAATGAACTCCATTCCAGAATGTAAGACCTGAGTGAATATCTACACTCGAGTAAATGGAGATGGGAAGGCAACTCTTCTGGACCTTTCAGGTTTTTAGTCTGGGTGAGATTGCCAAGAAAGATTGGTAACACCAATGGGGGACCTCTGTCGAACTCTTTGGACTCAAACCTACCTGTTCCTCCACAATAATCGGTTGCGTCACTCTCTGGTATCTTTTGTTGATTTTCTTGTATCGGTCCATAAGACTGCATCTTAGTGACGACCAATCGCACTCCATTTCATTTGTTGCTTCGACTTTTTATTGGTCTTCCTTCCACTTTTTATTGGTCTTTCTTTGGTCTGCAGTGCTTTGGGATTATTAAACATTTATTTGATGATTTTAACTCATACTTATCCGGGCCAAATAGCATGTCAAACAAATCATGTTTCTGTTTGTATTAAAAAAGTACAGTTGAGGCTATGTGTGTATAATGCCAGAATTAGACACTAAATTGGTTATAGATTGAAACATTCAAAATTAAATACTGTTACTAGTAACAAGTATATACTATTTAGCATACCATAAGTGATACATTCCAGCACCTTTCTTAGTGCCAAGCAGGGTGATAGCAATCTGTCCGTATACACATGTGTTTGAATTTGCGTAACTGAAAAAGGTATAACAATAAGAAGTAATACAATATTTTTTGAGTTTTAAATCTGTGGTGTACGAGGTCAACGATTAACATAGGTTAACAAATATACGATTACGTGGTTAACCAATCTCGTTCCACAACCATACCCATTCGCAGGTTAAGGGTGGGCATACCCTTAACCTGCGAGCGGGCATGCTCAGGGAACGAGAAGGTAGCTAACAAAAAAAAACCTTGTACATCAAAATACTGGTGATTAATAACTGAGAATGATGGATATCACAACAAACCTGAACAGTCTTTGGACATCATATCATTATTAGTAGCTTGCTGGTATAATCCACAGTCTGCCTTATGCGAACTTTCGAATCCCTGGTTACTAAATTCCTTCATTGATCTGAACGATCGCATCATCGTTGAAGCATGTTGAATAACGAGGTGTCCATAGTCTCCCATTCCAAGTAATGGGCCAAAAGACTCACAAAGTTGCAGTCCCCATTCTTTACACTGGAATACAAATAATATATTTCATTTTCAACTATAGACAAAAATCTACCTTTCGAAGAAACAAAAAAATAAGTGATTCAACGTTCTAAAGTTGCCACCGGAGCAGGCATTACCATTTGGAATTTAAACATTAAAATTATTTTCACAGAACCAAATTAACATATAAATGGAGTATACTATAAAAACACTTTCCATACAGCAACAGTTCTTAACTAACATGCTGTAAAGTTGAAGAATATATGATAAAATAAACAGACCTGTAGATCAAACACATCAATTGCATCTCCTTCATTTTGTTGATAAATTCTATCACAGATTACCAGGGCTTATATCCTTCCACATAGTTCCAATCTAGGTATAACAAAACAAATTTTATAACAAATGCTAAAAATTAATAGACCAGATTTGAAATTGATATGTACTCAGTAACTTTATTTACCAAAATGATAAGGTCTTGCTTTATCTCATATGCTAAAGACACTACTGTTTCATCCCATTCTTCGCTACTCATCATGCCTTGGAGGTTCAAGGTTTATTCAATTCGGCTGGTGAGATTTTCCCAGTAAAGCAACCTTTCTTGGACATGTAGATCAACAACACCTAATGATAATAAAAAGAGTGATGTTTTAAAATGAAATAATTTGTAATATGCATTTGTACATAAGGGTTGTAGAGTAGATTTCAAATATGGAACAAAATTAATTAACATGCATGAACTCGCAGTTAATTAAGAAATTAAAACTGCATGACAAATTAATTTAATAAAACTTGACGACTGAATGGTAATAGTTTCCTGAGAACCCCCAAAATCACAGATAAAAGTTTTCCCTGGCAAATGGTTACTAAAAAACTTAACATTACCACAAATATTGGACATTTTGCGGCCGTGTTTTATCAGCAGATAATCGCTTCACAATTAGATTCAGAAAACAAGATGGCGACTCGAGCTTCAGGGAAAGGCTCTGTATCTTACAGTTTTCTTCATAATTTAAGTTCAGTAGATGTCCTTTTTGACGAAAGTAAGAAAAAACCAAGAACACGGACTGTTGGGGTTTTTGAGGCAGAACATGTTAGCGCGAAGAAAGGATAGAAAGGTGCATGGTTGGCAATTTTACACTATTTATACTATAAAATATAAATTATATGCGGAATGTTTATAACATGTTGTTTTTAAATAGCTACGAAATAGCCAGTCTTGTGCTTATTTAACTTTGCTCTTGGTAGTTTTGTGGCTTATAGTATAATTACTGTTTACATTTCAACATGCAGGGCTCTATTAAGTACTTGGTGAAATGGAAAGGGATATTCCTCATTTGAAAATACCTGGGAGCCAGAAGAACACCTTTCACCAGCTTCTTTGAGGTAACATCTGGTCAAATTCGGATTAGTTATAATTCCTTTTTAAATGTGTTCTGAAAATCTTGGCAGTCATAAAGTTGATTTATATTCCCAAGGAATCAAGTTGATTCAAATCAAGGGTTAAAATGATCATTTAAAAAAAAGTTGTTTCAGACCAAATTTTGTTCTGAATTAATAAAGACATAAAGCAAGCCTGGTGGATATGTTGGTCATAGTTTTGAAATAGGTATAATTACACATTTTGTGATACATATTCATCATCTCTCCCCTAGATATTTTACTAATCCTCATCCAACACCAACTATTGTGGAGGAATGTTTAGACAGGCTAAGAGCTATGGCAATGGTTGCCCTAAAACACAAATGGTTGGAACAGAAGATAATTCTTGAGTTCAGTCATGATGTGAACAATTTTTTGTTTTGGGGGGGGGAGGCAAGCCAGCTGAGAAAAGAGGTTGGACTGTGTATGAAGAGCAGGACTTCTCAAAGTGCAAATTTCCTGCCAATTAGAATTGCATCCATATATGGACCAGCATGTTGATGCTTCCAAAATGAAGTTTACAAAAAAAAGGTGAGGGCATTCTTAGGTCGCACACCTGCAGGCTGCTCCATTTACTGTTCTAAATGTTCTAGAACACTGTTCTGGAACATTTCATAATGGAATGAACCAGAGTATTTTGAATTGATTTTGAACAAAATCATACTCGGCCCATACCCTGTGCTCATCATAAAATAAATAAAGATGGTGGACCAATTATTACCAATACTTTTTGCTGTGATGGAAGAAGCTGACTTTGAAGAAAAATATGATGATAATAATATGGAAAGTTTTTTTGCCACAGCTATTGCTATGTAGGTTTTTTTTGTTGCATTTGAAGGAAACTAAATTGAGTTTTTATTGCTATAAGGAATAAACAATTACCACTATAGTCAATATATTTGTTTATATTATAGGCCAAATTTTTTCGCAAAAAGATAAACAAACTATTGGTATAAAAAATAAACATGTATAATTCTTTAAGATATGACTGTGTCTGATTTATCAGTAATTGTTTTGTCATGACACTTCTCTTTATTTTAAACAAGGGTTCGAGAAGATAGAACAAAAGTTGGCAATTATGCAGACTTGACGATACCCAGTTATCTTATAGACGATTTTCAGAGATTTTTCAGGATTTCAAGAGGGACATTTGAAGTTATTCTCAGAAATATAGCTGTTTATCTTACACCTGATATTGGAAGAGCTGCTATAACTCCTGAAAAACACTTATTAATTACTATTTGGTTTATATCACACCAGGATACAATTCACAGAATGAGCGATAGATTCAGTGTTACAGATTCATCCATTATCAGATGCAGAGACAGAGTTTTCACTGTTGTTTTGAGATACTTAAAAACAAAATTTATCTACTTACCCAAAGATTATAATGTAAAAGTCCAAATAATGGATGAGTATAGGATTGGGTCTCAGTTCCCAAATGTGTTAGGAGCTATTGATGGTACTCACATACGCATTGTCGCACCCAGTGAACATTCTCAAGTATATGTAAACAGGAAAAAATTCCATTTGCTGGTGTTGCAAGGAATTCGTGCCAGTAACATGCAATTCTTGCATGTTCTAGCAAGTTTCCATAATATATGCATCATTAATGATGATGTATTAGAACAATACATTAGAGAAAACCAAGAAGAAGCTCACCGACACAATAACCTGGCCAATGAAGATGATGAAAATGGCATGGAAAAACGAGACTGTATTGCTGATGGATTTATTTAAAAATAGCATCCTACAGAAGAAACATGATTTAGCTTAATACCGTACAGTAGGAACATGCTTAGTTAAGGTTAAACTGTCAAAGCATTACAATATACAGTAAAAAGAAGAGAAAACTTCTTACGTTCAAAGAAGAGTGTTGCATAGAATTACGGGATGTTCTGGGTCATGATTTAGCATTGGAGGATCACAATGATAATCCTGCAACTGCAAAACTGCCTAAAAGAACCATGCAGTGGATTAAGAACATGCACCAGTCTGAAATTTAGGCAAATAAGCACCCAAACAAGAACAACTTCATATGTGACTGCATGGTTCTTGAAAAGCTTTTGTTTTTTTATATCTTTGAGCACATCAAGAAAGCCTTTCATTACTGTCATTCGTTCCTGGTGCATCTGCTCTTGTCGTTGCAATGTTTCTTGATGTCTATCACTCTGTGATTGGATGTGGACTTAAGAACATCCAAGACTTCAGAAACATTTGAACGTCTCTTCTTTGCAGGAGCAGGAACAGGAGATATGGAACGGGTACCTATCTTCTTCATTATCCTCTTGAATACTTTCCAAATCAACCGAGGCTCCCGAGCTGCTAACTAGATATGCCGGCTTAATGTTGGGTCGTTCAGAGTAAAACTCAAGTTCATCTTCATATGGATGCGTTTTTAGGTCATTTCCCGATTTAGAATTGTGATCAGCTGCCTTTTTTGCACCTCTGACAAGTGTTTTCCACCTCCCCTCACACTGTTCAGCTGTATAACAGTACCCATGTTGTTCTATGATTTCACCTATCTTTGCCCACAGACGTTTCTTCTTCTTGATTTTCCCCTCGAATGATTTATATTGGTCAATTAGCAAACAACATTTTCACCTCTGTATCTGAAAGAGAGCAGGAGTGGATTTACAGGGGGTAAGGGGTGCACACCCCTGTTGTCCTTGATCAACAGGGGTGCAAGGGGGGGTGTAAAAAATAAAATTCAGAAATATGGCATGCTTTTCAAGGTTTTTCATTTTTTGAAGTCAAACTGAAGCTCATAATTCAATGCCCATATTGCAGGAAATGGCATTTCTAGGGTTCTAATTTTCAACATTTTCCAGGGGGCATATCCCTGAACCCCCTATGGAGGTAGCGCCTTTCGAGTCGTTAGGAACCCAATTCATTTTAATTCTCTCCCACTAGCCCCTAAGTACTATTCAAAGCACGTGTAGGAGTGTTTTATCACATATAAAACACGACGCGTAGCAGAGTATTTTATATGTGATAAAACACGACTACAAGTGCTTTAAAAATTAAATGGCTTAAAAAACGACTCATCTCATACAAGTTCATTGGCAAAGTAATTTTTAAAATAAACTTTGTCTAAACCGAGATGATTTTTTATCACAAAAAACCACGACATGCTTATGATTTTTCTTTGTTTTGCTCCTGAATTACGAGTTTTTTAAAGACTTATAAAAAAACACTCGGCTGCCCACCCAGCACCCCCTAGAAAAACCTTGCTGGATCCACCCCTGAAACAGAGAATTTAATATATACTAATTATGAATAGACCTTAAAAGTTCTTAGGACACGTCACTGTCAGACAATGAATATTTGACCCACCTGTATCCGACATTGCATTGCGTATACCTAATGTTTAAGCTTCGATGGATTGATTTGGGCAGCTGAAATGAATAGATGAGTAATTCATTGTAAAACAAATCTAAAAATCATCTAATACTATTGTTTGTGGAAAGACCACGTAAATTTATTACTGTAAATCTTTCGATCCGTAAGCTCGAATCTTCATCATTGCTAATAATATGCGACTAGTTCAATTAGAATCACTTGACTATGTTTGAAATGGGGGTTGATGTACCACTTAATTAAATTTCAAATGACGCTATCCAACATATCACAACACTTTGGTATTAGAAAAGGGCGTGTGAATTGAACTAGTCACATATTATTAGCACTGATGAAGATCCGGGCTTATGGATCGAAACCATTGCAGTAATAAATTTACGTGGTGTTTCCACAAACAATAGTAATATGTTTTATCGCCATGCAAACAAAGAACTTGATTCTAAAAATCGTTCAGGTGCTAAACTATAAGCTTCCCGCTTCCCCTTTAACTAGCCATGAACAGGGTGTGATTAGATAATCGAGCACAGTGCCACAGGACTAAAGGCACAATGCTCGGGCACCTTGTATGTAACTGGAATGAAAAGACATGATCAATAATATATTACCTGCTTGCTGCATCAGACTTTGATGAACTGATGCATTTAGTGGCACAGTCACAGAGCTTTTGCCTGAAAAAATTAGAATAAATCAGTGTTAGGACAGTTCAACACCTTGTATCAATGTCCAACTGGGTCATTTCAGAAAAAATACAGCGTCTTTCTACTTGTGATAGTACTAACTTGTACTAGGATGGCTGAAAGAAGAGACTGGGAGGTGGTAAGCTTCTAATGTCCTCTGTAATGATCCATTGAAATAAAATGGCATGATAGTAAAAATATACCTGCTTGTTGTGTTCGACTTTCAATTGGAGGGAAAGATACATTTTGTGGCTTTGTTACTGAGCTATTTCCTGCAAGATAGACATGAAAAATTAGTTACCACAGCTTAATATTATTCCTGCAAGGTTAAGATGTAACATTAATTACAATGTATCACTGGTAGAACACTTTGCATTTTTATTGAGTGAAATGACAAAATAAAAAATACCTTGTTTCTGTCTTTGACTTGGAGGAACTGATGCATTTAGTGGCACAGTCGACCACAGAGTGATCACCTGTAAAAATTAGAATAAATCAGTGGTAGGATAGTTCAACACATTGTCTAACTAGGTCATTCCAGAAAAAAATACAGCCTCTTTCTACATGTGATAATAGTAACTTACTTGCACTAGAATGGCTGAAGGGAGAGACAGGAAGGTGGAAAACTTCTAATGTCCTCTGTGGGGTACAAGTGTGGGTGTTTTCTGTAATGATCTATGATCCATTGAAACAAAATGGCATCATAATAATAAAAGTATACCTGCTTGTGGCTTTGGCACTAAGCTTTTTCCTGCAAGATAGATATTAAAAATTAGTTAACCACAGCTATTCCTCTAAAGGTTAAGATGTAAAATTAATTACAATATATCACTGGTAGGGCACCTTGCATTTTTTATTGAAGTGAAATGACAAAATACCTCCCTTCTGTGTTTGAATTTGACTTGGAGGAACTGATGCATTTTGTAGCTTAGATTGAACGCCTTTCCCTGCAATATTAAGAAGTCTTATCACTATCATACAGTGTAACTGTATAAGTTTATATCTAAATATAAGGTACATATTATAAAGGTATATATTATTCCATCTATTTTATTTTATTTTATTTTATTAAACAACTCCCTGTCTATACACTTTAAAATTCAAACCAAGAACTGCTTTTAATATATATATAGTCTACAAACATGGCTTACTGATGTCTTTACTATTATCAAGCTTCGCAACCATAAAATATTTTAACAAAGTAGGTGAAAATGTGATATTTTTATCAACTCCTGTATAGTTTATAGTAAAACTTGGTTGCCATATTAGGGCAATGTGCACAAGTCTGTGGCCATGGCCAAAAGAAAAATAATTTTATTGAATCCATTGTAAAAGGGTAGCCTAATGCTCGATTTACTGGGAATACAGTATGTACCATTTGATTTGTGTACAATACTTGTGGCGACTTGTTTGAGTCGTGGTTGATTTAAGGAGGTGCGACTTGTTTTCACTTGTATAAAACGAATGGGCACCAGAGAATAGGGTACCAGTGGAATTATACTTATTGTGCTAATGTACGATGGCCGAGAAGGGCCATGACTGTATACACTCGCCATTTTTTTACCATTACACTCGTCGTTTTTTTCAATGCAATAATTACGAGCGATGTTTTTTCCACCGAAAATTACACGCGACATTTCTTCAATGCAATAATTACACTCATCATTTTTTTTCCAAAAATTTATACACTCTCCATTTCTTTCTAAGATTATAGCGACAACGGTAAACATGTCGGACGAAAAGGTATTGTGTGATTGACTTATTTGTGTTTTTTAAATGGCTAGCTGTGTAATCCACAGATACTTGATAAAATTTCATCTTAATTGAATTCTTAATCTTGTAAATGTATTAAATTAACATAAGAAATGTTCCAATCCGGTACTTTTTATAAGCAATACTGCACAGTATTGACATAACCTTTTCTTTTCTCCAGCATACAAAGAATCCCAATTCATCAGACATACGATCGGATGGTATGTGTAATTGTATCCTATATTATAAATTGAATAATATTCTCTGAGATATTTATAGTTAATGATGCGCATAGAATGTTAATCTTAAAGTGCCTATGACACGAAATTTCAGCCCAAATGTTTATGATTGCATTGTAAAGATCACTTAAAATGACTTAATAATTTCTTTTATAGAATTTTGGTAACTTGCTTCCTTGGCAAGATATTCACCTTTGTTTGATATGCAAATATCACCGGTGTGACATCACATATCAGCGCATGACATTTTGAAAACGCAATATTTTACTTTAATAAAATATTTTTACAAACAAATACAGAGGGTTAATTACCAGTTATGAAATTAATACATATACAAGGCGTATTCGTCAAGAAAACTATACGTTTCTGGAAACTCATTGTGTGATGTGATGTCACAGGTGATATTTGCATATGAAACAAAGTTTAGACCTTTGGGGTGAAATTTTGTGTCATAGGCACTTAAATAATTGTTTATACATCAACATGAAACCTACCCTAACTAACAGTGCATTTTTTAAGGGGCAGTGCATTTTTTAAGGATTCTTCAGTTGTGGGGAAAACTGCCAAAGGGCCCATTCTCCTTATCCCCTCCCTGCCCATTTTCCTTGCCCAGGCTTTCTTGCCATCCTAATTTTCGTACTTTTTCCTACTTTTCCTATTTTTTATTAAAAATTGCTTGGGAATCGGTATGTTATAGCTCACATAATTAGATGATAGGACTCGTAGTAATTTTTATTCCCTATTTGTGTCCCAGATGATAAGATTCTCAGGAAGAGAAGTACATTTTCCGAGTATAAAATTTCATAGCATCTCTAGAATCATAATCAATAAATTAATTAACCCCCCCCCCCCCTCAGTTGATCAAGCATCATATGCTCCTACCGCGTGGTGTGGATTGGTGTATGGCACAGCCAAATACATGCAATCGCATTTGAATTGTGTAGCTGCAGAGCAGATGCTTTAGCTTTTATACCAATGTAACATTCATTGTTTATGTTAATATCTAATTTTAAAAGTTTTGAGAAAAAATCCTGCATAGATGAGTACAAAAAAATATTGAGCACCAAAAACTGTTAACTTCCCGATCAGATATCTAATAGTCCACCCCTTACCACATATATCCTAGGGGCCAATTTTGTATATTTTTGTGTTATTTCCATCTTCAAAAACTCCTACTTTTGTCCTACTTCTCTACACATTTTCCTACTTTATTCCTACTTTTCCTAAAATTCTAGTCCAACTTTTATCCTACTTTTCTACACAACATTGCCAGAAAGCCTGTGCCCCTTGATGACAGTATATGGGATTGCTGAATGTGTGAGCCAAGTACTGCAGGCATGAGTTATCTAGAGGGTCTGGGGCATGTCGAAATGTTTAAAATCTGGGTTTCTCAAATAGCATTTTCTGCATTCCGAGAACACATTTAAAAAAATCTCAGCTTCTCAAAACAAGGTTTTAATGGTTAAATTTGTAATAAATTGCATGCTAAACATTCATAAGTTTAAGGTAGTTCTATATTTTAATCCACACAATATACCAAAATTATACCAATATAAACCAATATACCAAAATTTAAAAAGTTATGTAATATTATGCCAAAAAAAATTATTGAAGAAAACAGCATTTTTGCATTTTTCAAAAAATTGGCATTACATAAATTTTTATATTTTGCTTACTGTTAGTGTGTGTTATACGTAAAATGGTGCACGAAAAAAATTGGAGGTCACCGTGCTTTTTTCCAACTACAAAAAGAAATAGGCTATTTTAGAGTGGTTTTCGTATGTGTGTGTTGCCATAGCAACGAACTATGTGTTACCAAAACTGACATAAATGGAAAGGACATCAAAATAGCTGCGTAGAACCTAAAACTACCACGTTTACAACTATCAAACTATTATACTCTTGATGTTTTGAAAACTGTACCGAGCCACCAAGTATGATAACCAACAAATTTTGATGTTTTTAAACTTCTTTTCAATGCTAAATTATTTACTCAATACAGTTCCTTGGGCCCTGGCTTTGGGCCAGTAGGACATTTTTTATTTCTCTAATGGTGGGGCAGAAGAAAGGGCCCAGTGGGGCAAATGACCCACCAGTCCATGGTATTAAAAAATTAAATAAAAATGTCTTGCTAACTAACCAAAGTTATATATAAACGTTCATTTAAATGATTCTATCTGCATGCTAAAACCTATCTTCATTCAGTTCTGTCAAACGAGATGCCTCAAATCTTCTATGGTTGTATGCCAAAATTGGCAGCTGAAAAGCTTGGGCAACAGAAGAGCAAAGAAAGGCTACATAAAAAAATACTTTTTTGCCTACAAAATCCACTGAGTGTTCAGAAACAAAATCTTATAAATTCAGTACACCAGCACATTCAGAGCTAACTTTAATATGAATACTGCATTTAAAACATAAAAATTACAACATGGCGCCCGAAGGGTCATGTCCAACACCTTACCTGCGAACAGGCATAATCTGGGAAAAATATCTGGAGGTCAGGGCATTTCTCAGGTCGGGTGAGAACGCTAAACAAGTTTTCTTTTGTGTGGCCTAAGGTTGTATACAGGGCATAAATGTTTGAAAAAGGCAGTTTTTTTATCACAAATCCCCTAATGTTCAAAAAAAGGCAATTTTGTAGGGCAAATTCCTGATGTTTGAAAAAGGCAATTTTGTAGGCCAAATTTACCAAATTCTCAATGATTTGTCGGGCAAAAATACATTTAAATCGCGTGTTGAGTATGAACATAGAAAACTAGAACACCAGTTTAAGCAATTGTAAAACAAATGCTAGTATACGTCGTTCTCCGACCATCGGACTTCCATAATGTCTCATAGAAAAAGTGCATAAAATGACAATTCAGAGACTCTAAATTTCAAGCTTTTCTGGGGGAGTATGCCCCCATACCCCTTAGGTGTCTTGCGCCTTTGGCAAATGCATTCAGTCCCATGCCCACAGGACCAAGATCCAAAGGCAACAGTAACAAAGGCCTGAGAACGCTACTCCTGCCAACCCTCATAAATGTTTCCCAGCATCTTTACATTCTCTTGCAACTGCACCCTTTTGGGGGCAAAACATACCGTATCCTCACCCAATTTATGCCTCTGGTTGTACAGCCATTTTGCTGCAATTTGTGTGCGGATTAGAGAAGCATGGAAAAAGATTTAACGTCCTATAATAGGTATACATGCAGATACCTGTCCACTTTAATGAGATGTAAATATAGTACTAAGCTGTGTTTGCATTGGTGGGGAGATAATTAATGCATGCTTATGCTAATTGAATGCGCCAGGAACGGAACCAAAACTATAATAAGGTTGCACATGCAAGGTGTAGATGTATTATGCATCAAGATGGGAGTTTTACACTTTGAACTATACAGTTTATGAGTTATTAGGACACTGTATAATATGTCAGGCACAGATTTTCTGGGGGTGTATGCAGAGGCATTTGGCACCGCCCCCAAAAGTTTTTGCACCCCCGCAAATTATATATATTTTGATTTGATAGTTTCATGTTTGATTATTCTTACTACTAAATTTGTAAAATTACCAGTGAACTTGATATGTGTACCAATATGTTACTTTATATTTCAGGTCAAAGAGGAGCTCAATATAGTACGTCTGCACTCTCCCACAGTATACATAAAATCGGACATACAGTACTGTCCGTTGGAGAAAACACTGGTTGAAAATGGTGTTTTTTCACTTTTCGGCACATGTTTTAACCATGAAGAACTTATTTTTCTTGAACATATATTAAGCAAGAATGATCTACAGACAATTCTAAACATTTTTGGTGGGCGTGCTCGACCACGCTCATGTTTTCCAAATTTTGTCAGAACGTGTTTCAGACCATTATCACTTGTTTGATGGAAACCGGTGGTGGATACGAGTCATTACCAACATTTTGTGGAATAATGAATATGCCAGGTAAATTTCCCAGGAAGCCTATCAAGAGCAAGTAGATGTAATTCTGGAAGCACAAGAGTCAGAAGCTCAGATTGAATTAACGAAAGCAGGGAAAAAGCTGTGTGATGTTCTGGTACTAGATGTTACTGTTAGTTTTGATGGAACATGGGCCAAAAGAGGGTTTACCTCTCTATTTGGTATGTTCTTTGTGATGTCTGTTGACAGTAGGGAAGTTCTTGATTATCATGTTCTGTCAAAGAGTTGCCATCAATTTTTGTTGAAAAAATCTCTGTTAAAAAATGATTTGGAAACGTTTGAGGAATGGAGAGTTGATGTTAACAACAGAGATCAACATGTTAACTTTGAAGGGAGTTCCCCAGCAATGCAGGCTGAAGCAGCCATAGTTCTTTGGCAACAATCAATTGAAAAACACTAAATGCAGTACAGGTATATGGTATCTGATGGAGACTACAAATCCTTCAGCAGTGTCGAAAATGTTTATGGATATGTGAAGGTGGAGAAAATTTATTGTGTCAGAATGTTCAGAAGAGGATAGGTAAACATCTTTTAAAGCTGAAATCAAACAGGATGATTAACGGAAGTCACAATCAAGCAATTTCAACGCTACCTATGGTCTCGCTATCTGCCAAAATACTATCAAAAAGCCAAATCCAACTGAAGTTGAGGTGAATGTTGCAGTGTATGCAATGTAAAAGAACATTATTGCGACCCTAACTCATAATGTCCAGTCATCTAGTCTGGAGAGTCAGCACACATTTTGTCCACCGGTTCAAATTCCTGGTTCAAATGGCCAACAAGATAAGGCCACTGGCATAAAAACATATAAACCTGACAACATATTGCCAGACTTTTTTTTTTAATTCTTGTGCCCTGTTTTTATGGCACTCAGTAATTCAAAGCTTCTTGCTAGATGTGTTCAGAAATGAGTGCATAAACTCATTGGTTTGGATTCGGTGTCCAAAGTACAAGTTTCATTTGACGAAGGTTGTCTGCTTTGCTGTGGCATTGGCTGTGTGCCATTTTCCAACCTCATCCTCAGGGCCTTTTGAGGAAGGAGGCGAAGGGCAGCAAAGGCCCTGGTAAAGGCTGGTCATGTGATGCTTAAAATTTTGAATATTTCAGAATATTTAACTTTTCAAACCGGGGGTGTGGGCCGCTTTGATTTTATCAAACATGGCCGTGCAAAGGGGTGATAGAAGCTTTTGCAACTGAAACTACAATCTTGGCCAAAAGTTTGTAGAATGACCAAACAAATTCGCAACTTTTTAATATACTTGGGTTTTAAAATCATATTGCACCTCCCCCCGCTCCCCCCATTCACTGTTGGTTTCCCGTAATTCAAGTACATGTAGAATTTTATCTGTACAATATGTCCGACCATAAAAGTAGACGAAATGGCAACATTGAATGGGGGGGGGGGAAGGGGGAGGCTTCAAAAATGCACAAAAATGCATCATCGTCCTACGCTTTATGGCCAAGATTGTCCGAAAATTATGCTTTAATTCCAGTTCTAGCAATGTTCAAAAACAACCTCTGTGGCTGTACTTATGTTCTTGTATTACTGGATAACAATACAAAATTCCTTCTGGTATTCCTACATATTGAACGATAGGTAGATGATAAATATTGTATGCTGTAATTTGATACCTGCATGATTTCTGGGTAGGGCCATTTAATCTTTCTTAAAATAGCAGATATGTCTATTTTGAACTGACTGCAATTAGTTATAAAGGCCGACAGATACAACGTAATTATAGATATATTTTATTATACATATTTTCAGTTAAAGCTACACACGGCAATATTAATCGAGAAATAGAATTTTTATAAAATCTTGCTGCTGAATATCCAACATAGCATAATTATAGATATGATGAATATATTGTGTATATAGTTACGTACAGCAGAGTGGACACTCAGAAATTTCCTACAAAAAAGAGCTTTGCTGATGCAGTTGTAGAGGCATGGATGGCATCAGGCTTTACAATTGAACATTGGGTCGTTTCTTTAGAAGCACATTTAAACGAAGATAGCCAGTGTGATGACGAAGAGATGAATCAGTATCATTATCACATGGCACTTAAACTAAAAAGGAGAGGCAGATGGGTTCAGGTCCGCGCCAACCTCGATGAGAAGTTCGGTATTAAAGTGAACTTTAGTGATCACCACAATACCTACTACAGTAGTTATAAGTATGTCACAAAGGAAGATAGCAATGCTGAACATTCTGATTCGCATCCTGATTTACAAAATGCACCAAGAACCGAACAAGCAATCACTGGCAAAAAGCGTAAAGGCAGGATAAGTTCAGGATCTGCGTCAAGTCAAAAGCAAAGGAAAAGACGTAGAGACAGGGCATTGACTGTATATGATGTATCTCAGATTATACAGCAACGTAAAATAAGCAAGAGAATAGAGCTTGTGTGCCTTGCTGTGCAACCAAAGCGAGAAGGAAATACTGCTTTAGCAGAGTTCATTGCGAATAAGAGGGAAAACGCTGTGGATGATGCATTGGCAGTTGCTAAAGAATTTGACGAAGCAGAGAAAAAGCTTGCAAGAATGCAAAAATCGCGGGTTGACCTACTGACTGAGGCAAAGGAAGAAGGAAAATGCGTGGCAGGTTGTGAGGGAAAATGGTTACTGGCTGCAGAACAGTTGTTAGAGAGTAATTCAATTACACATCAATCGTTCTGTGATGCCATCTATATTGTGCTTGAAAAGGCAGGGGGAAATATCAGAACATATATCCATGGTCCTGCCAACTGCGGAAAAACATTCATATTGTCACCTTTGAAAATCATTTACAAGGCATTTTGTAACCCAGCTACGGGCACGTTCGCATGGATGGGGGCTGATGAAGCAGAAATCATTTATCTAAATGATTTCAGATGGAGCCCAACCGTGATTGCATGGGCTGATTTATTACAAGCCCTGGAAGGCGACGTTGTTCATCTACCCGCACCTAAGAATTTTTGTCGAAGGCATTTGGAGTTATCAGCTGATACGCCCTTCTTTGCTACGTCAGACGCGCCACTGGTACTAATTAAAGGCGGAAGTATTGATCGTACAAACACTGAAATGATGAATGTGCACTGGAAGTTCTTCCACTTCTCTAGAGCAATTCCACAGGCTTCACAAATTAAAATTGAACCGTGCGGACACTGCTTTGCCAATTTTATTTTATACAACAAAGACTAATTGCAAAACCTTATTGCGATATAGTAATACGCTGCAAATCAATATGTAATTGTTAGACGTGCGGGCCGGCAGGCTTTCTTTATTGTGACACTCAGTACTCAGTGACAGTACTCAGTGAAACAAGAGCTAAGCGCACATATATGACTTCACTGTCTTCAATAAAATGTTTTTACATGTTGGCATAAGTGTTGCAATTCTGTTTGTCGTTATTTGGTAGGAAAATTCGGCCTTTGGAAAGGACAATCACAGTACTCGCCATAATATGAGTTAAGACAATGTCTATCTCATATTAAGTTTGGAGGTTTTAATGAGTACTGTCAATTATTGTTTCAAATTTACGATTTTTTTTACCCATTTCCCATGAGATTGTAAGGACAGTAACAATGAACAAAATGTTGTGTGTATTTTATTGATTTATTTACAACAAGAGGAAAAATTAAGCAATTACTGTGAGTACTGTTGACAAGTACTGTCAGTTAGTTATTAAGTTACTAGAGTTCAATTATATAAATAGACTAATATTTTGTCCGATAGCCTCCAGACTTAATTATTTGGTCAATGCGTTTTGGCAAACTTTCGATTGTTTTATCAATGACATAAGGAATACTATTTAGGACACATACAACTCTTTCCTGAAATTGTGAAAAATTTTCAGCTTCTATACGCTTGTTGATAGCCTCTTCATGCAAATTAGACTTTACTAAATGAAATATATTTTCAATTGGATTTAAATCCGGTGACCGACCAGGCCGAATTTTTAGCAACTCGCTTTCAAGACTACACAGTGCATTCATTGCAACTTTACTGCTTTGCGAAGGATCGTTGTCCGTGACAAATAGACGTTTCCCGCCATGTTTAGGGCCGGCCTTGGCATAGCAAATGTTGAAATTGTTTTTGATAAAGTTTGCAAAAAATTTCCCGTTCATTTTCTCGTATGGTTTTGCAAGAATAACACCTTTTCCATGAGCAATAGCAACCATGACATGGACTCTATGACCACCTGGCAAGTCTTTGCTTCCTTTGCTGGTTAAAATTAGCCCTCCTTTTTTCCGCCAAACTCTAGCCATCTCAGTGGTTGTCGCGGTCCTCATTGGATTGTGTATAAATGATACACCATCCATATAGAACGACACTTCATTCGTCCAAAAGCTTGCATTTTGTTTTATATGAACTTCTTCACTTTTCTACAAAATCGTCGCCTCAGCACCCTATCTCTGTCTGACAGAATACCTTCCTTCCGTCTTTGAAGGAAACCATAGCCATTCTCATTTAGAAAACGTGAAACTGTGCGTCGACTAACAGCGTCTAAACTGAGACCAGTTTCCATTACTAGGGACTTAACAGAAACATTCGGTTCACGCAATCGCAGGACTTTTAGCGTTCTTATCAAAGATTGTACATTTCTTGAGTTGAGCTTTCGTGGCCTTCCCTTTTGCTTGCATACTTTTGTATTTTGCTCATTTATTGGCATACTACATATTCTGTGACTTGATGATTTTGAAATTTTACACTCTTTTGCAATATCGGTGTATGAAGCATTGTGTTTTACCCTTAATAAGTGGGCATAAGCTTTTTGAACTGGTGTGATTTTTTTGCCTGGCATCATCCTTGTGTAGGCAACTGTGTTATCAATCACTTACGTCCTGAATCAGTTTTTAATGTGGTTGTCGAGTACGTGTTAATTAGATGACATCAATGCACAATTTGATAAATGATCTCACTTAGACTAAATGCAGACGAAATAGAAAAAGTCTCTTTTTTCCATTACTTGCACAAATAATTCTCAATTATCTAAACACATTGGCTTAATTTCAATCTAAAATCGTATAAATTACCTTAATTTAAGAATAACTGGAATATATATCTAAAAACAGATATTTCAGAGGAGTATGGACGTATTTATACAAAAGTGATTGAACTTTGATTGTACAACTCCTACCAGAGTAAGAGCATGATTGTCTTCTATATAAGAAAGCAAATATAACTTGAGCAGCTTAGCGGAGCCACCTTAACTAAAGACGTAAATAATATGCAACAACACATATACCAATCATATTTTTTTTATCCACTAGAATACATTAGTGCAAGTATCTTGTACAAGGCTAAATGCATTTTTCGTGGAAAATAATATATAGCAATTTTCAGACAATCTTGGCCAAAAGTTCGTAGAACGACCAAACAAATTCGCAACTTCTTAATATACTTGGGTTTTAAAATCATATTGCACCTCCACCTGCTCCCCCCATTCAATGTTGGTTTCCCGCAATTCAAGTACATGTAGAATTTTATCTGTACAATATGTCCGACCATAAAAGTAGACGAAACGGCAACATTGAATGGAGGGGAAGGGGGGAGGCTTGAAAAATGCACAAAAATGCATCATCGTCCTACGCTTTATGGGCAAGATTGTATGATGATAAACTTTTCAACTGACAATGGAAATAAATATATAGTCTCCAATGTTCTTCAAAAAAAATATGGAATATAATCAACAGCAATACTTGTCGAAGATCAAGATTCAAAAAGAAGAGTCTAAAGACTGACTAACAACAGTAAATATTTCTTTTCAGCTTGGAAGCGTGTTTTATATTTGTCGTTTGGGAGTCAATAACATACTGTCAGTGACGAATTTGATTTGGGACTTTGACATACCTTTATAAAAGATTACTACTGAATATAAATGTGCATGTAAAATGTGATTAGAACGTTTTAATATGAACAGTTGCACTGTCATTGACTCACTGTCAGGAAACTCATGACATTTGATATATTTTAATGTGGGACAAACATTAAAAAAACATTAAAGTACTGTGCCAAGTGACAAAATTCCATGCTGACCATGGTTTACGTATGTATGCATTTTTATTAAACGTTTATACCAATATACATTATTTCAAACCTTTGTGTGTGAATTTTGTGTGTTGGTTTTATGATATTTGACAACCATGAATATTAATAATATAATATGTTAACAGCAAGTTTACAGTATATCGTATAATACAAAAGCAATATCACAAGACTCAAATGAGTACTGTACATGGTCTAATAGATGTTTCTTAGTCGGCAATTATGCTCTTTGACATTGTGGCAATTAGGTATTCTTGGGGCTTTTAGCTTGGTTTTTCACTTTTTTTATACAACTATAGAATACCCACAACTTTCACACCTATCATAAATACCGCTATTAATTCCTTGTAAACATTGTCAGTTTACTCAAAATTGATCTAATATGATTGCCTCATTCTTCAAAACCCCCCAGTCAAATTTGAACCAAACTAACATACTCATATGATTTAATCTTTAATCTCACAGTGTATTAAGATATAGAAATGCACTTGTGATGCCCAAAGAATTGCCAGAAAACCCCCCAGAAACCACAATCAGTCGATTTCAGTAAGGGCACACTGGGGCACATTGCAGCTCAATGGGTCAACCATTGTCAGATTTTTCGGTTAATAACCATAATTGTAAGAGGTCAGTACAGTCTGTAACAATAAGTTATTCAGGAATTCCCACAATTCTCAATAGCAGTCAATATCAGATAATGTTGAGCGTTGAGAATATATGTATATTGTCCTTAAAATTCATACATTTATAATAATATTCAGGCTAAATATCATAGTTATTATTTTATGTACTATAGTTTTATCAGGTATAAAGATACGAGGTGAAGCCAAGTATCTTTAGGTCTGATAAAGCATACACTGCAAATGTTTTAAATTGCTCAACTGATGGTCACCAACAACAATAAATAGTACTTTATTACAAGGTGGCAAAATGCATTTAAATTAAAAGAGATGAAAAATCTTGTCACTTGATACATTTGACACCAGGTGTCTTGTATTTGTCCATGAGAGACCCCTTGTTATTGTATCATGTTTTGAGAACGAGTTCAATTTTGATATTTGTTGTCGATCTGAGCAAAATATTGATTATTTATTGATTTGCCTACTGAGGCACACAGTATTGAACAATCAATTGTGGTGAGTGATGCTGAACTGCCTATTGTATGTTGTGAGTGATTTTGAGCCACCTGTTGTGATGAGTGACACTGAATTGCCCCAATTGTGGCTCAGAAAAAAATGTACCTGCTGACTTGTCAAATAATCTCCTTAATGTTCTGGGAAGTAATTTGTGTAATTGATTACAAACAAAAACAAGGGCTTGTTAACAGTAATGAGGAAATTAATTCCCTCTCATTATATTATCCAGCCTTGATAAAGCATGTGGAGGCTTGTAATTGTACCCTCATGCATGTAATCGTTTGGGAATGCCTGATCATTAAGATCACAACATTTGTTTTGAAGCTTGGCCTTTGAAATCTAAATGTGTGTTCACACATTGGGATAAGAATGAAAATCAAATAAAATATTTCAACTCAAATTCAGGAAATGTTAATTAACCATGGAGGTCAACCAGGTTATACTCAGGGCATATGGTAGACTTGGATCAAGTCCGTCTCAACAGAGTCCGAGTCACGAAGCCACAAGATTGAGCGTGCCCCAAAGCGGTGTGTGAAACTATGAAGGGAGAGACGGACTTGGCTCACTTGCATTGTTTCGGATCAGAATTATTATTTTGGCGGGAAATTATATTAAATAGGACCGGTGTTATTGTTAGCGGTTTTGTTACAAATACGGAAGCCCGGCTTCCATATGCAAGTGTCAGGGCAAAATTAAAATACAAAGTCACTGCAAAATAAAGTTAACTAAGTCTAAGGCAATACATGACCAATTCTGAGACGCTATTATTAAAGTGTATATGAAATGAAAATTTTGATATCAAGTTTTTTGCATTTTCTGAAAATATGGTCTTTTCCGATCATAAAAATACAAACCTTGCTGAAAAATTCGAACCAGAAGTTTGTTAATTTTACGATTAAAATTCGCTTTTTCGACTATCTACTGGCAAAATTCCTGACATTCCATCGCGCGGTCAGTGACGTATGCAGTATGACACAGTGCGACCTTTCGATATGTAAACATTATGAAAATCATAGCTTCGTCTGGGTAGAATTGGGTTTTTGAGAGATTTTGAAGAAAATTGAAACGAATCCACTTTCTGTAGACTTCGTTTTCAATCTGTAGATACAATATAATTACAACATGACGAGTTGTAGCGTACAAGCGGCCGAAAATTAAAATGCAAATTCGATGAGATCAAGAGACTATATCTACGTTGTATGTTTCAGACCGCATATTATGTAGATAGGCTTAGGCTATAGCTGATATTAATTATGGCAAACATTGTAGTAACTAGTGTTTGCATAACATGGAAATTAATACTAAATATCTACATTTACTGACATGCGATAAATTGCACATATATATTTAGCATGGTAAAATACGATAGGGTAAAAGGACTTTAATTAATATCGAGTAATATAGCCTAGCTGCTTCTAATGATGGGCTCTACTTTATTGTATAATTTACTTTCACTCACAACCGTTCGTTAAGTTCATATTGAGAATCTATTACATGTAGTTGCGTGTTTTTGTACACGAAATAGATCAGAATTTGATTAGTATTTATCTCACCTCTAGAAAACCTCGGCAAGAAACGCGTGCATGTTTTGCGCGACAGGCTGATAGCGCGTCTACCGACGTGACGAAACTCACACCAGCACTCGCACGCAATTAATCTTGTTTGCATCTGTACTATCTAACCCTATAAAGCAGTGCAGTTTCTATGCATTTACTATGCATGCTGGAAGTGGTCTGCATGCAATTCTCCCATCCCAGCATGCCAAATATCATCGGACTATCCAACGATATGCTACTGCTCGAAGACTATCTAAATAATCAAACAGTGAGTCGTTAATTTCATGTTTGCAAATGCTAAAGAAGTTACTTATGTATGGTCGGAATATACATAAGATTTGCCTACCAAAACCCAAGGCTATAAGTCAAGTGACTATTATTACCTATTAGTATACTAATATAGCTATACTGTACATATAAAAAGATAAATTATAGACATACTGTTCACTGAAGGGCTTGAATCCGGGTTTTTCCATTAATTTAGTTTATTGTACGATCATCCAGATTAATTTTTTAAAATTATTTCTGACGTTTCGGCTACCTACACGGCAGCCATTATCAAAGACGTATTACAGTTACAAAAAAAAATTTACAGACATACTGTATAACAAAGAATACAAGATATCGTTTAGAATACAAATATATACAAGAAATAGTGATATTTAATTATCTTGGGTTCTGTTTGTTGGTTTATGATACTTTTTCCCTGACTTTATATCAGAGAAAAGCCCCTGCGTCTCTAGTAGGCTATTGTTCGATAGGTGACGACTATTATCATATTACAACATATAGGCTAACATAACACTTGCAGAACTAGTATGGTTCGATGCTGAATTAATATAAACGAGTATGTTTATGACATTCAGTATATAGTTCATAATTTTCAGTCTTAATATAAATCCGTCTGACCGTGTAGCTCAGTTGGTAGAGCGTCGATCTAGTAATTCGAAGGTCGCTGGTTCAAGACCCACCCGCGACAGACAATATCTTTCTGCTTGTGCAGTTGCGCTGGGTATGGAAATTATGAAATACACACTCTAGAACATTTTCAACTTTTCAACTTAGTGCATAATCCCAGTGCTGTGTGATGCATTCTGCGTCCTTGTCCTCGAACGTAAATTTGTCAATGCACTCCAAAATTTCCTTACAGCATCTATATTCTCTAGCGTCCTGCAATAATTCATCACTACAATGTCCACATGAAAACCTTAAAATAAACTCGCATATCAGACGAAACAGGGTAATAAATAGTCGACGAACGGGTTAATATAATATTACTTTTATGACTTTACTTACCATGAATTAACAGCTACCTTTTTCTTAAATCTCGCTTCAAGAGTATCATGAAGAATGCCGTCTTCGTCCGTTTGGTCTTCCTCGTAGTCACTTATGCGACTAGCTCAAATTGATATGGCTGAACAACAGACGATTGCTCAGCGATGTCTTCATTATCGGTTGACCATTCTGTCTCTGTCTGTGATTCAAAGCTTTCGTTATCGGACATTTTTATAGCGAAATATAAAGGCAACGGTCTGAAGTTCGTGTTTTTTTGTTGTTATCGTATAGTGAAACACTTCGGCGTGTCATACTGCATACGTCACAAGCCCCGGAACTCTAGGTACCAGTCTTTCGCCAGTAAATAGTCCTGAATAATTGTTGGGTTTTCATCAGTAATTACGCTGAATTTGGAGCCCCTCAGTTATCTATTCTGCATTCGCAAGCCGAGCACTATTGGCTGACGAATGCAAACAATCACCCCATCGCACATGCTTAAATAATTTTGACATGTGTGTCAAAAAGAAGCAAATAATTAAACAAATTAGATCTTATTGAGAATTCAACATGTTCTCACCTATATATAGCTACACTATTTTCTTCCTGTGGATGATTTTATGAAGTAACCAAATTTCTGGAGAAACCAAAACGGTCGCTTTTTATGCAGGATCGAAAGTCGTTACGAATTCCGAGTCTATCAATTTGGACAACATTGTCACGAGTGTTACGAATACACAAATGAACACAATTGAAATTTTATACTCTTTTCTATTACGCCGCGTGCCAAAAAAGAAACGCCACAGACTGAAGGCTCCTTTACGTACTTCCCAAGTACACAGACAAATCTATTTATCGCCCCCTGATTTTCACAAAGATATTGACCTTACTCTCTATATGGATGTAGAGTCTAACCCTGGTCTTGCTCAGTCTGATAGTATAAATTACCGTTCAACCAATAATATGAACACGGCTAAAATCTCCTCAAACCAAAGTAACATTAAGATTGCTCATCTAAACATCTGTTCCCTAAAGAACAAAGAGCACTACCTACTGGCACAGGATCTGGTCCTAAAACAGAAATTTGACATTTTCACCATCTCAGAAACTTGGTTGGACACCTCTGTTACGGATATTGAAATTGAATTCCCAGGATATGCTCCGTTTCGACTTGATCGCAATGGTAAGAGAGCACGTGGTGTCTCTGCCTATGTCAACCAAAGCTTCAAATGTGAGCCAATGAAAGATCTGACCTACATTTCGAAATCTGGTTTACATCAGTTATGGCTAAAGATATGTTATGAACTTCAGGTCATTTTTCATATACACAGCTTACCATCCACCTGACACTAGCTTATCTTGTTTTGAAACTGATTTCAGCGAAACATTAACGTCAGCTTTGTCCTTTAACAAACCAATCTACATTCTGGGAGATCTCAACTGAAATGTACTTGATGCGAATGATCCCTGCGGGACAATGTGCTCTTTCAAATTTTTGTGCTTGTTTTAACTTCACTCAGATGGTTGATAATCTTACCAGAGTGACTGAACATTCTCGCACATTAATTGACGTAATTCTTACCTCTTCAGAAAATAATATCAAGCAAACAAAAGTCATCCCTAATTCGATAAGTGATCATGATATAGTTATGTCAATTCTGGCCTTGAAGAAATGTCGTGCAAAGCCTGTTTATGTCTCCGTCCGAAGTTTCAAACATTACAACAAAGATTCTTTTTGTGAGGACATATCTAACGCTTCCTGGTCCGTCATTAACAACTTTGAGGATGTCTATGACTGTTTAAATGCTTTTGACTTACTGTTTAATGAAATTCTGGATCAACATGCTCCAAATAGAAAGGTTAAAATAAGAACTCGTCCAAATCCTTCGTGACAGAAGAGATTCGAGGGCTAATAAAAACTAGAGATTCGAGGGCTAATAAAAACTAGAGATCAATGGAGAAAACTAGCTCGGAAGACTGGTGATCCTGCTGCATGGTCTGCTTACAGGAACTGTAAACGGGATGTTAAACGAGAGTTACGTATGGCCCAAAGATCTTTTGTCGAACAGGAAATTAGGAAAAACACCAAGGACACTGGCAACATGTGGAAAGTAATTCGCACTTGTATTCCAAAGAAATTCACCGGGAAAAAATGCTTCAGCAGCAACGATAAATCCATGGCGAATAACTTCAACCAGTCCCCCACATCAGTCGGTTCAAATACTGTCATGAAAATCAAATCACTAGCTAAAGAAAACAATTATACTCCATCTCAGGTACCATTTGTCCCGCGAAGTTATACCGAGTCAGAACAGTTCACCTTCGAACCCGTAGAATGCTCCCTAGTATAATATATTGTGAAATCAAATGCCAGATAACAAAGCTCCAGGAATAGACAAAATACCAATCTGTGTCATCAAGGACTGTTTACCCATTATTTCGCCATGGATAACCTCAATCATAAACAACTCTCTGGCGAACAATATATTCCCGAATGCTTGGAAAATCGCGGAAGCAACTCCCATTCCAAAAGAAGGCGATCATGAGCTGGCGAACAATAACTGACCCATTTCCTTATTACCAGTTCTTTCAAAAGTATGTGAGCGTGTAGCACTCCACCAACTGACGTCTTACCCAACCACCAATCACCGTCTCTCTGTGCATCAAAGTGGCAACAAAACCTGGCATTCAACGGAAACCTCCCTTATTCATTCCACCGACTCCACTCCTAAAGCAATTGACCAGAGGAAAGTAACAGCAGTTATTCTTTTGGACATGAGCAAAGCTTTTGACAAGGACCAACTACAATATACTGCTTGCTAAATTGGAGGACGTTGGTGTCCCATCCAGATGCTGCCTGGGTTGGTTTAAAAGTTACCTCAGCGAGAGATACCAAGCAGTACGTATCAACTCTACTCTGAGAAATTGCCAGTGGTTAGTGGTGTCCCACAGGGAAGTATTCTGGGCCAGTTACTTTTCAGTATTTATGTGAATGATTTGCCGTCAGTCACCAAAAATTGTTCATCAGAATCATATATTGACGACACCAAACTCCCTCTGTCCTTCCGAATCAAGGACTCGAACATTGCGCTGACTGATCTAAACGAGGATTTGATTAGATTGCGAAACTGGTGCTTTGATAACCTGCTCTTGCTGAATCCAGACAAAACCAAATTGATGGTCTATGGAAGCTGCCAAATACTCACGAAGTTACCTGATTTTAGACTCTCGCTACTTGGTAGGGAACTTACACCTGCTTCATCAGTGAAAGATCTCGGAGTTAAGTTTGATCCAATCCTCTCCTTCGACAATCATATCCTCTCTACTGTTTCATCCTGCAAGTCAAGTCTCTGCCAGATAAATCGTGCTAAGCATGTCTTCCGTAAAAACATTTTAATAACTGTCATCAATGCCTTAGTATTTAGCAAACTGCACTATTGTTCCTTGCTTTGGTCAAATACTTCCTGCAGCAACCTATCCCGACTTCAAGGAGTGCAGAACTTCGCAGCATGGGTAGTGAGCAACAGAAGGAAATTTGACCACATCACCCCGATACTGAAGGAACTGCGCTGGTTTCCAGTGAAGTCACATCTGTACAGTCGCGATGCTCTACCATGCCTACTTATTGTCCCAGTTCAAAACGAGAGGTGAAGTGAGTGGTCGCGATACTAGAAATACTAAACAGCTGGATGTTCTGTTATAAAGATCAACTGCAGGACAAAGAACATTCCATTACACAACTGTCACTCTCTGGAACAACATTAACCCTGACTTGAAACTTTGCAAATCTATTCCAAGCTTTAAAATTAGACTGAAACGGGAACTGCTTCAGCAATTTCTAGATAGTTAGCCTAAGGACATGTCCCTCCGCTGTCATTGTCGTTCTTATTTTCGTTGTTGTTGTCATTGTCATTGTCTTTGCTGTCATTGTTGATGTAGGTTGTATGCTGCTGTTGTTAACCTTGTTGTCAAGAATTTGACGTCGTGTTTGGGTATAAAGTAATTGCGTGATCTTATTATTATATGAATTTAGGATTGGATGTATAATTATAGTAATTAATTGATATGTATATATATTTTTGTCACTGAAAAGCCCCTTAAGGGGAGAGTCAATAAAGTCAATCAATTCATATCATAGTTACACGTATCGTAACTACCTATTAAGAGGAGTTTTTTGTATGTTAAATAATACTCACTCAAAACTAGTGCGTATAATATACCACTTGAGGTTGGGACTAAATTCAAAATTTTTATTTTTCTATACGTTTTTCAAGCGGCAAACAAACTTTAAAAGTATGTTTAGTGCTTTATCTGTAAAATAATGCTAAAATGAAGAGATATTAGATGATATGCCAAAGAGAAAATGATGTCTGAAATTCAGCAAGTTTTGCTCAATTTTAAAGCATCATTGATAATTGTATTTTAATTGACAATTTTTACCTATTATTATATGTTTCTCAACCGGCAGATGCATTTAAAAAGGTTGCTAACCCTATAAACTAGAGAATAAAGCTAAAACAAAGTAATTTTGAGAGGAATGCCAAAAAGATAAATTACATTTTGAACACTTTGCATCGCAAATATGTGACATTGAAAAAAAATGCCTCTTGACTTAAACTATAACTAATAAAATTGTACAGTACTTACGTGATTATTGCCAATTTTACAAATCATACACTTGGCATTCTATACAGGGTGTCTCAAAAAAAACGTTACGGAAATTCAACAGGCTGTCGTGCATCATAAACGTGGCTAAACAATTCAATTTTTACATAGGAAGAAAGAACAGTTATTTAGCTTTTCAATGATACTCTTTTAAAATCGTAACGAGGAGAAATGGTCACATACTCGCCAATCACATTCTTCCACCGTTGGGAGTTGCAAGGAAAACAAACAATAAACAATTCCCAAGAGGCAATTAAAATTGAATGTTAAATTATCTAAAATAAGCCAATAAGTCAATCTTTGTCTTAGTGAGACTATAAGAACGTCCATTATTGCATTAAACATGGTTCCATTAACCACTGAACAGAGAACATTCGTAATCAAAACGTTTCAGTACGAAATAAGTCACCTTGCAGAAGGCTTGCGTTGCTTTTGGATCAATTAAATTTGAATAATTAATGTTCTTTCAATTCCCAACGATGGAAGAATGTGATTTCGACCGACAATTTTTATTTGACGAGTATGTGGCCATTTCTCATCATTACGGTTTAAAGAAAGGTATCATAGAAAAGCTAAATAATAGCTCTTTCGTCCTATGTAAAAATTAAACTGTTTAGATAAGTTTGTGATGCACAACAGTCTGTTGAATTTCCGTAGTGTTTTTTTTAGCCACCATGTATAATGTACTCTCTGGTTGAGGGCAGGCCACTACTGGCCATGAATTTCAGTATATTTTGAGGGCATAGCGGCCACAACAAGCAGGGGCATTGACGGCCAGTGGCTGCTGCTAAATTTGAGGCCTGTGCATGTGAGCTGGAACCAGTATATATAAAGAAGTATGTTATTGAATGTGTGGGTGTTACCCAACCTCATACCCAAAGGCTCTTTCCGCCTGGCAAGGGGAGAAAAGACCCTGGTAGACACTGGTCACATGATCTGCCAAAATCTAGCAGATTTTTAATTAGCAATCCAAGATGAGGTTAATAAATATTTGATATTTGGGTGATTTTTATAGTTTAATTTATAATTTGCATTTTGTAAAGGAATCCAAGATAATTAGAAATCTGCTAGATTTTAGCAGATCACATGACCAGCATCTACCAGGGTTTTTCAACTTTTTTCTCCCCAAGAATAAATACCCTGGGTATGAGGTTGGGTGTTACCAGTCTCTAATGAATATTCATTAATATGTAGATATTGCAGAATAGATGTGTAAGAAAGTATGTGGTATTCACTTCAAAGCCATATCTATACGAAAATACTTTACCATGATCTCAGGAAACAAATTAAAATCATAGGTAGGGAAAGAAAACAGGGTCGTTCACTGGAAGTAGTTTGGATGACATCAAAAATTTTATTCAAACCTCGGTAGGCAATTTGGAAAACTTTCAGAATGTGTAAAAAGAAAGTGTAGTTTATTTAATCTGTGAATTTCTTAAAAACACTTGCGCACAGGCACACAAACCAGAAATCCTGATACGACACTCAATCACGACAGCAGTTTTATCAATCAATTTAATGCCAAGATTAAACCCGTTTTGTCCACAGCTGCTACATTGAATTGGACCCTGTGGTATAATCACAAAACTGATTCTACTCATCTGTACCAATTTTTGATGTCTCCTGGGTATGCTGAGAAAGAAATTCACATATCCAAAACGTGTAAATGGACATTTTACACATATGGAGTTGAGAGAGAGAAGAGTAATATTCATGTGTTCGAAGACATTTCCAAGACTCTCAATAGTATGAAATCTCTAGTAGATCTGCTCAACAGTTTAAAAACCTTGAAGTTATGCGACGGTTGTGGAACAACTGAAACCTATAAGGAGTTAAATGTAGATAAGGAAAATGATATAAGTTGGTGGAGAAGGAATGGACAAGAAGGTATATCAATAGAGGTATATCAAACGGAGCCATGCTGTCAACGGATTGTGGAATCCTTGTTGCTAGCACTTCACTGTTGTGCCAATCTTGTCAGAAAGCCAAGCATTACTAAGAACACTGCAAAGTCGAAAAACTGTTGCAGAAAGTAAAAAAAAAATGAAAGAGCCAGAAAGGACCAGGTACGACTACAAAACCAAAAGTGAACTGGTACAAATTGTGTGTGACTCGGCAAAAACAGTAAAGATGCTGAAAACAAAAAATCAAAGATTAGAAGAATCCAGAAATAACTTGGGGCCAAATTCAAACAATGATTTGAAAATTATGTTTGAGGATTTACATGCAGGATTGGAGAAGAATCACGAGAAAATGTCAAACCCTTTTTGTCAATGGAAACATTGCGAATCTCCAACATTCGAAAATGTCGAAGAGTTGTACCGGGTGGCCCAAAAAAAAGTACTCCTGTTTGATTCGTAATAACATCTAAACAAGTATAGCTTTTAAAGAGAAATAACTTGCATCAAATAGAGGAAGGACTAACTTAGACTTTGATATATTACAGTTGTATTTCACTTAAAAATTCACGGAGATATTAATCTTTAAATTCGGGAGGATATTTCTGGATGTGTCTGAAATATGCAAAAATCGGCGTATCAAATATTAATCAAGATTTGCCCGACTGAAACATGCACTATTACCAGTAAATAAATGACACTTGACAAATTGTTTATTATGAAACAAAGTATTATTATATCTACAAAATACAAGCAAGATTCATTCGTCCGAAATTCGCGTGTGTTCCTAGCACGAATACGTTTCCTTATTTCATGAGACCACTGCATCGCGAAGGATCGTCATTGGATCGTTCGTAGTTCTGAATTAGGGCATGCTGTCACAACCTAATATTAAATACTTGCATAATTTCGAACGTTCATATTTCAGGAAACAATGAGCTAAGACTTACATGTAAGATGTCTAAATCTACGCCATATCCCTTACAAACCTTAACGATAATTCGCTGAAATACAAGTTAGCCTAATATGTCATTAAGCAAACAAACGCTGGAGTTAATATTTGATATGCCGATTTTCGCTAATTTTAGACACATTCCAAAATATGCTCCCCATTTTTAACATTAATATCTCCGTGAATTTTTAAGTTAAATACAACTGTAATATATCAAAATCTAAGTTAGTCCTTCCTCTATTTAATGAAAGTTATTTCTCTTTAAAAACTTTACTTGTTTAGAAGTTATTACGAATCAAACAGGAGTACTTTTTTTTGGGCCACCCGGTATGTAAATTGCAAAACACATATAGAACACTTAGATACCAGTGAGACTGCTCCCATTAACCGGCAATAATGATAATGTTCGAAGCGTGATTCTAAATTAAAACTTTTGGAAAACCATCTCAGGGAACATACCAGCAATTTACAAGACTTGTTTCTTAACTTCTTTTGTGTGACCAAGCGACTGCAATAAATACGGAGGCAAAGCAAATGAAGTGGCATCTGTTGGCTGCAAATCTCCCTCACTTTATGCACCACACCTTGGCATGCCTGTATATTTCATAATGGTACATCAAAGATAACTGACTCGATCCTGAAAAATAATAGTCATTAAGGTACAAGACGCTTTCTGTGATGAGTAAAATCATCAGGTGTTAGACAGTAAAAGAATGAAGTACTGTAAGATTCATTGCAACTTAATTGGTTAACAAGACATATTGGCTTATAATTTTGTTAACCATTAAGGCACAGGAGTATTTCTTTTACAAGTAAAAGATACTGGCATTAGACGGATAAAACAATAAAGTAAGGTACATTACTTTAGGTTATTAAAGAATCTTACTAAATTACTACTTTAAGTGTTAAACATGTGATACCTCATATAGAACTGACAGTGCTAGTGTATTTGCATTTACAATTACCCTACACTGTTTGAATGTGTTATAACCTGGAACGATTTTCCAAGTTTTTCTAGCTATAAGCTATGTGTTGCATTGTCTGTAATGTACCATACAGTATATATCTATATTTTGCCTCAGTAATTTAACCTATTAAGGCGTGGGCATGCCTTGGTGCACCTTAGTTTGTTATTTTACTCTGTCTGATGTCAGATATGATTTTACTTGCCAAGGCAACACTATTAACAAAACTATCTTCTAATCTCTTTTGTTCACCCATCAAGGCACAATCTGCCCTGTTATATTGTCACAGTGTGTTCAACTCTCCACTTGAAATTGAAAATGAGGTCAAGATGACTTGAGATGTTGTTCTATAATAAATTTGTTATGATATTCAGTTACTTTTTTGTCTCGTGTTTCAAAACTTTCCAATATCAATTTATAGTATATATTGTTCTTAATATTTTGATTGGAAATATACTGGTGTGTTAATTGATTCATGATTTATTATTTTTTATTTATTATTAGAACTTTATTTCACGAGGGTAAAAACACATTACAGCCAGGGGCTGAAAAACTTGTGACCCTATTCTTTTTAGCCCAACTGAGTCAGAAAGGAAAAACCAACTACTGGCACATACATTTGTGTTAACACCAGTAAGTAAGGGACCTGTCTTAAATCCTGAATTTACATTGTCACCAATTAATGAAAAAGTCAATGTACCAAAATGAAAGCTTATGTCAAGTGAATGTCCTGTAACTGTTTCAATCAAGTGGGCTGACAGAACTAAGACAAAGATCTTACCACCCGAATTGAGCGCAATTGGGGAAATGTTATGTTGTGGTACGAAGAAACAAATAGCCAGAGCTATTTGGCAGTTTAATGAAGTACGGAAACACATTTATGAAAAAGTTGTGAAACAAATACATAAAGAATGTGTGGTCATGTGTGTAAAAGGCTCGAACAAAGAGAAGAAAATAAAAGATAGCTGTCTGAGAAGAACTATAAAGAAAGCATTATCAACTCTTCTTTTGACAATTTGATTCAGAAATTACAAGAAAGAGCCACTTTGTTTCTGTTGGTGCTTAAGACTGCCGCTCCTAAAGTAAAATATGATGAAGAGAAATGGAAGCAATCAGTTGGTGTAGCTGCAGCTGTTTGTTTATGCAACAGGTCAAGGAATATGATCGCACTTCAATTAATGATAGCTATTATCAATCGTCATTCTGGATTTATGGTATAGTAATATATTACAACATAATATATGTTAGACTCAGATAATTTTCAGATATTTACCACATTTGTGTTCGTTTTGTGGCAGATACTGTACATATGTGTATGACAAGCTCAAGATCTTGTATACAGTATGTAACATAACACTACAATGCACAGCAGGTAATTAACCAGGGGTTATGTGCAGCGCATTCTAACATATGTAACTGTAACAGTAACACAATTAGAATGCATTTTGCATACTAATAGTACACATAAATGATAAATATATAAAAATATCAAATCATATTTATCTTTAAGGAAAAAATAAAATCCCATTTATACTTACTATCTGCTTAATGCAAATACTGCAAAATAAAGTCAACTTTTATCACCTTATTCTTTTAACTATTTTTATGTAAATAATCGTAATATATACTGCCTTATTTGTCAACATTTTCAGTAGTTGTTACTTGTAATTGATTTTTCAAAACTAGGGTCCGGGTTCGTAGTCTCCATGCAAGACCAACAATATTCAAAGACTTTCAAAGATTTTTCTGCCTATTTTCACAGACTTTTCAAAGACCTTTGAGAGCAATCAGCTGTTGAAAAATTGCAAGTGTAAGCACCATTTTGCCCCGATAATCAGTCCCTTCAAATCACATCCTAAAATATACCCTTTTCGTCGAAATTCTACTTCAATCAATCTATTTTATTAACTAGAAAATCGTATAATCAAATACTCAATAAAGAATTTAAAGACTTTCTTCGCTTTTTCACATAATTCAAAGACTTTTCAAAGACCTTAAAAGACCTCTGAATTCAAATTTAAAGACTTTCAAGGATTTCAAAGACTGCCATGAACCCTGTTATCTAAAAGTCCAACAGGATTTCCAAAGGTTCCTAGCCCCCCATATATACTATTCTAATGTTAGATACATACTAATTCAAATCACACAGATACACGACAAACAAATACAAAATTATCTTACCAATGCACTAAACAATATGCTTCATCTATCACAACTGCAATACAGTCTTCACGAAATGTTTGAAAGCTTGCTAGGGTCCTCCAACATTTCTTCCCAACAAAACATTCTGGACTAGTATACACCAAAGAATAAACACCTTCCTCGATGTTTTGTAAAACTTCTTCGTCCTGGCCATCAAATATAGCAGCTGCAGATATACCAAACGAATTGTTTATATGGTTTACTTGATCCTTCAGTGATAATAATGGCGATATAACAAGTACCGTACTTGTGCAAATTGCTTGGTCTTTTAGAACATCGGCAATGATTGGAATGGCTTGGAAAATGAGCGATTTTCAATAGCCAGTGTGAGCACTAAAAAAACAATCTTTGCCCTTTAAAGATATAGACAAGGCTTCTTCTTGGTCGGGATAAAATGTTTCATCATTTAGAAGCGCACACACTGTAGAAATGGCGACAGAAAACTCACCATAATCAAACACTCCTTTACCCTTGTTCAATTTGTTATTCGAGCAGCTGTATATTTAGCGTATTAATTTTCTTGCATAAATTATTTCCCCAAAAATCTGGAACACGGGTTGAGCGGAGTAGCAAGCTATCGTTCAGAGTTGCGCAGTCCCTACTTCCTTTGGGAGTCTGGGACTACACACAGGCTACAATCGCTCTGAAGTTGTTGGAGATCTGAGTATTGCATAACAGTATTATACTTATCCCTGAGATGGTGTTGATTTGCATATGCATTATTTGCATCTATCCTTGGCAGCAAGCAATACTATCCTGATAATGCCAATGCTGTGCCTAAGAACAGATTGTTTGGACAGTTCCATACTCCCCAGACAGATGAAATGAAAGAGGAGATACTATACCAACTGACTTCACCTAATTCTACCATCAGAGTTGTTTTTGCCACTGTAGCAATGGGAATGGGTGTAGATATTCCATCAATTCACCAGGTAATCCATTTTGGTCCACCCCACACAATTCAGCAATACTACCAGGAGACAGGAAGGGCAGGGCATGACGGAAAACCGTTCAATGCTATCCTTTACTACAACAGGGATATAGCAAAGAACAAGCCAGGTATGCAAGATATGATGCAAAACTATTGTCGAACCTCAGGGTCATGCCTTAGAACACAATTGTTAGAGTGTATGGATGCTTCTGATCCAAAATCCTTTATTCCTTCACATGATTGCTGTTGTGAATGTTTGTGTCTTCAATAATGTGGGCAAATAGCAAATTAAAACACTCAAATATGTATTGTTAGTTTTGGACAGTACCCTTACTCAATACCCTTTTAGTCTGGACTCATTGCCAGAAACATAAATTTCATGGCGCAAAAGTCACCCAATATGCGGTTCTTCAGCTGTATGTTACTACCATGGAGGAGCAAGTAGTAGACAACCAATATTGCAAAGGCTATATTCTCCAGGAGGGATATCACACTCAGCTGAGAACAGACAACCCCTGATGGCTTCACACCACTACCCCAACCCAATCCACAACTTCTTCCAACTGCAGCCAACATTGTGGAAATCACTGACCTACAATCCTAGAAAAAAACACTCGGACAAATACATGGAAAGGTGTCTTAAATCTAAATATAATTGCAAATACTCATCCCACCCCTATTTTGCTATTCTGTAAAATACATCAACCAAGCCATGTCCAACCCAATTTTAGATTGATGTTGCAGCCTACACTATGAAGATCTGTAACACAGTGTTCATCCAAGTAAACAACATCGATATTCTCTGCAAGGTGAATCTTCTTGGTGCAAATCACAGCAAGGTAAAGCTTCACATACCAGTATCTACAATGTATGATAACAGTGATTGTCTACAAGAGGTATTTTTGCAAGAGCTGACACAAAGCTTCTGGCATTAAGTGAAACAAAGACGCTTAAGGGATGTGTATGTGGCACAACTCAGAACTCCTTGATGTCCCCAAGCATAAACACATCACAGCATCAAAGTTGTTCGATGTGCTGTTGCTTCAGCTGTTTGCCACTTTCATAGTGGTACCTGTTCGCAGGGAAAATGTAATGAGGAGACTTTCAAAACCTGCTGGTCACCATACAAGACAAGCTTCATTATTTGTGACAAGAAGGGACTGTGGATGTCTGATTGGCAGGTGACCAAGAAAGAAAAAAGCCACAGCCAAGGACAAGCGCAATAAGAATCTTTCATGCAAACAGGCCCCATATGCCGGTAGACCCTGATGGAGGCAAACCTGATGCTCCTGATCCCTGACACAGGCAGACTTTTAGGTCATGGGTCCTGTCAGTATCAGATATTGTGAATATTCCAAAAACTCTTATATTGAAAAATGGAAGTCTGATACTGATCGATTTCGGCTGGAATGAACCTGTGTGTCAGTGACAGACAATTAAAAAAATTGACCAGGATAGTAAGGGCGGCCACTGACATACCTGAAGGCTCTTGCTGGATTAATAGTAGGAGAGGTGGGAGGACTAGTCTCACTGGATTAATAGTAGGAGAAGTAGGAGGCCAGCAGAAAGGAAGAGAAAGGCTGTGTATAAAAAATGCAGGATTTATTTTGTAAAAGTGCAGCCTGGTGTGTGCAAGAAGTGTTGAGTGGTGGTTGGGATTAGCCAACTCAGATGCTATCCTTGGAAGAGCTGGAGCCATTCTGGTAAGATGTGTTTGAGAAGGAGCCGGAGGTTGATGATAGGGTCGCTGACCCTATTGCGTGTGTTCTTTTGGATCTTACAGATCCAGTCATTTCAGAGGAGATACAAAGCACTTTGAATGCAATGAAAGTGTGCACCAGGCCTAGATGGGATGGTATTGAGTCCCTTGAAAAAGCTCCCATTAAATGAGCTTAGGGCATGCCTCAACATGTGGCTGTTGGTTGATTATAGTCTCACACCATGTTGCACGAGAGAAACAGTCCCTATAATGAAACATTGAGATGACATCAGACCACTCAAGTATCGCCCAATTACTATGGCAAACATGGTAATAAGATTGTTTCATGCATCTATGTTTTAAAAACAATACAGATTTTGCTCTATTTACTTTTTGAAACAATTACATTATGTGCATTTTAAAAATGATGTATGTGTAGGTATTGTGATTTTGGAATGAACACTTATAATACTAATGATACATTTTCTGGATTGTTTAGGTAATATTGCTTTAAAGAGAAGTAAGCACAAAGATATGGATTGAAAAGTGAGATATCAGTGTCTTGTAGTTCATGCTATAAAGAAGCATCTCTGGTGATGTCAGGTAGTGTAGAAAATAGGGTAATGTCATAAGATGTCAATAGAAGAACTGTTTACCACTCCATAGAGACAGGCAGTGGTTACAAAGGCTTGCCAACAGCAAATGGAATCCATATTACTTTCATTGGAGGAGGAAGCAATGAAGGACACTGGCAAGGAACTTCATTAACTCAAATCAGACCGGACGATTGTAGTGTTGTCCACATTGCTGTAAGCTTCAATGAAACATGGGCCAAGAGAGGTTTTACATCCTTGACTGGAGTTGTGTTTGTAATTTCTGTATACACAGAAATGTTTTGGGCTACCATTGTGTATCTATATCATGCCAGAAATGCTCCCTCATTTAAGGATGATGCTCAATTTCCAGAGTGGCAAGTCCAACAACTTGCATCTTGTGAATGTAACATCAATTTTGATGTAAGCTCACCAGGAATTGAATGTGAAGGTGCTGTTACATTGTGAGAAAGATAAATAGAGAAGCATAGTCTTTGCTACAGGTGGTTGGTTAGTGATGGAAACAGCAAGGGCCATGCACCTGTGGAAGATGTTTATAGTGCAAAATGCAAGGTAGAGAAACTAGATTGCATAGGACATGTACAGATACGAATGGGGAAACATCTTATGAAAATAAAGCCTTAAATAAAAGTAAACTTTCTGATGGCAAGACTATTGGTGGGAAAGGGGTCTCACCGAAGGCAAGATCAAGCAGGTTGCAAAGGTATTATGGTCTTGGTATTCAGCAAAATACATCAACCAAGCCAAATCCAACCCAAGCTGAGATTGCTATTGCAAGCTTAAAATATGAAGATTTGCAACTCAGTTTTCATCCAAGCAAGCAACATTGATATTTTGTGCAAGGTAAATCTTCTTGGGGCAAATCATAGCAAGTGATGCTTCAGATACCAGTATCTATGATTATGATAGTGCTCAGTGATTGTCTACCAGAGGTATTTTTACAAAAGCTGACACCAACCTTCCTGGCATTAGATGATACAAAGTTGCTTGAGAGATGTGTATGTGGCAGATCTCAGAATCCCAAGAATATAAATTTCATTTCAAATTAAATAAAAACATAACAAAACACCTGCACAACATCATGACAAATCTTTTCTTTGAATGTCAACTTTTGTTTAATTACTTTTATATTTAAAGTTAATCTACTACAACTTTTAAATGGGTTTATCACTGCCTAAAAGATAAAACTCAATTTGTAGAAATGTTGAAGATATTTTAGCCCTTAAAAAGCAAACGTTTCGATAAAAAAAACCAAAACAAACATACAAATTGTTTCAACGTTTCCGCATTCCACAACAAGCAATTACGTTTCCAATAAATACGAATGAAAAATGTAACAATACAGTTTTCATGATGGAAACACCGCTTTTAATTTACGACTCTGCTCCTGAGTTGAAAGAATTTGTCTTTCAGGACATTTTGTGTTTCTGGCACAAAACTAGTCATATATTCCTTCAGTCAGCTCAAAGTAAGTGGTAAAAGTTTTAGTCGTTGGTGTTTTCTACGAAAATGAGTGGAGTTTTGCCCAAAAGATTGCAAATAACAACAAACACAAATAGCACATAATAGCTTCCAGTGGTTCAGAAATATTCAAGTCGGAACATTTCACCAATTATACGATGCATTATGCTCATTATGTGTAAAACAGTATTCTCCTGACTTGTTTTTGTAAAAAATATTTACCCAGATATGCATGGATGTGGCATAATTCTTTTGATTAACAGTCAAGCTGTAAATCCTCATAATGACCTTAATATGTTTTCCGGTAATCACTTTTAACCCAATTATTTAAGAGTGAGTATCAATGCCAGTGATCCTTTGGGCGCCTGGCGTCTCAGGAAATGGCTGACTCTTCAAATACTTAAGTGATCTCCAAGATTTAATTTGTATTGGCCCATATGTATCAGAATCCTCTATTGAAAACCAACTCTATTTTGTTCTTTTAACTCCTTTTCGACCGGCCCTGTGAAAACTATGGCAGATCTGCAATAGTATTTTGGAGGTTCATATCTTCAGTTCAGTACATGCTATGTAGATGAAAATACCACCATTCGATTCAGCAAAATAATATCTCCTGATTCCTAGTGATAGTTTTAGTCAAAGACAAACATTATAGCGATTTATGACCTTTGAAGGGTCGAGAGGTATCATATTTCAAAAAATTACATATTTGTTCGAAAAATGTAAATAATTTATCACTAAAGCCATACCTTTCGCCGGACACAACTTCTTCGGCCCCTTCAAACATATATTTTTTGTTGTAGTCTTCTTGTTCGATTCACAATCAGAAACACTATTTACAGTGTTATTTTGAGGCTTGTAGCCTCAGTTTTTCATCTCTTATTTCGATAATTCATTGTCTTGCGATATTAGTGAAGTCAACAAGATATTTTTTGACCGGAAATGCGATTTAGATTTGCCAAAACATTGCGTGTTTACATCCTAGTACTCGGGAAACGTCCGTAATCGATTCTAAAGGTCAAATTACATCTGCAGCATGATTTGCACATTGCATCGGGCTACGGGTACTTACTATTCGCCAATTTTAGCAGGTGGCACGCGCATGCGAGAAAAACCCGATATTTTTAAAAACTCAAAATAAACATTTCTACTGGCTGTATTCAAATGAAATTTTGGATATAAAAGCACTTGAATACAAGGAATATTCACTCAATAAATCAGGGCTGCATAAAATATTTTATTTTCTGGGACCACAAAGCCAACAAAAATATTTTCTGCACACAAACACTGGGAATCTTATGTTTAAATTTGATCACTAAACAAAATTCAGTGTATTCTATACACCATTTCATTAGATTTGAAACCAAAATAGATGTATTTTACCCTGCTAGCAGTGGTTTCTAGCTCAGCTGAGGAGAAACCATTGTGAGGAAATGAACGATCGTTTCATGTAGCTGCCGTCCAGATTCACAGACGAATACATTAAATGAGAAACCGGTAAAACAAGTTTGACAAGTTTTTGTTGTTGTGCACTGAAACAGTACTATGCGACTCAAATTAATTATGTACGTCCCACCACATGATCTTCGCACATGCTCGATAGAAAGTCGTTTGTCTGCTCGCAGTGGTTTCTCCTCAGCTCCGAAACCACTGCCAGCAGGGTAGACATGTTTTAATGTGGCTATGGAATACATATTCTTCATATTTTAATTTAACAAACATTTACATTTTAATGGATAATAAAAGTCACCACTGGGAACTGTCTGCAGTTTAAGATTCTTGATTCTTATAATTTTAATATATTTGTTATGAATATCATCTTAACTCATTAACGCACAAGCTGTTACAATGTTTCTACCTCCCAACGTGCAAGCAATATGGCAAATACGTGATTGAATTCAAGAGCTTTCACCAAAATGGCAATATCGCAGAAACAGTTGCATGAAAAAATCTGGTCTTTTCAACCAAATATTATTGATATATGATTGACCAAATTTAGTTTAAATGAACTTGCATACCTATATAGATATATATATATATATATATGTGTGTGTGTGTGTGTGTGTGTGTGTGTGTGTGTATATGTATGTATGTATGTATGTATCTGTATGTATCTGTATGTATCTGTATGTATGTATATGTATGTATATGTATCTGTATGTATCTGTATGTATATGTGTATATGTGCATATGTGCATATGTGCATATGTGTATATGTGTATATATATATGTTTTTTCAATGAGAATTTTTATTTGTAAAGCAGTGACACTTTGTTTTTCATGTCACTCATCACCTAAAGGGGCAATATCTCCATAAATTTATATAAAAACCAAAAAAAAAGATTCACTAAATTAGTACATATCTATATTATAACCAATTTTCATCTATTGGGATATGAATTAGAAAATGATTAAAAATTATAAATTATAAAATATACTCCTTTGCTTTTTTTGAGCAAGATGTTTACAACATGAAATTTAGAACAGTAACTAAGTGTTCAAATTCAACAAAGTGTGCAAGCCAAAACACAGTGCTTGTACATCTTTCAAGTTTTTAATTACTTCAAATATATTTATAAGGACATATGGTACTAGAAACTATTTATTTTTAATATAAACCAAGGATGGGAAGGTGAGAATATAGGAATTTTCTGAGGTGTTTTTAACACAGACAATGACATGCAGCCGACATTTTCAAAGGCAAATTGTGGTGACAAAACCAAAAGCTATTAACCTCTCTACTCAAAGCACTGAAAAACACCATAAAAAGAAAAACATTTTAAACATACATCAGGTAAGACTTTTAGCTCAATTTTCTCATGTTTTGTTGGAAAAGCAACGGTTTTTAGCCAAAATTATTTTGTACGCCAATGTAGGCTGCTATAAAATGTCAGACACGCATTCTTTTTGAAGTCTGGCTCTGAAAAACAATCGCTTTTTTTAGTTTGAAATAAGCTTTCATAAGGACTATTGTGTAGAAATGTTATCTATATGCTCACATGAAAAAGATAACCTAATATTCTGGTAGTCCACATAGCTATAAAAGGGTGAAATAAGGACTTTCATCTTTGGTTGTTTGCGAGACATGAGAAACCACATTAGTGCCATTTTGTCGCACGTGCTATTTTATAAAATAAACACCTCGAAACCATAAACTTTTTAGTTCAGAAAATTATAAAGTTTTCCATAGACAGTATTAAAAATGTGCTAGTGAAGCGATTTCATGATAAATAAGTGAGCAATGGGCCCAAAAGAACTGCTAAGGTTAGTTTTTGTTAGGACTTCAATTTCATGGCTTCCCGCAAAGGAAGCTATTTCAGAGAGAAGCGACAGTTTGCCAAACAACCATCGCGACCTATTTTGATAACTTTTTCTTCTGATTCAATGTGTAGTTACTAGAAAATTATGTTTCATCAACATTATTATCTGCTTTATTGATTTAAAGTTTTATAGGGGATATAAAAAACAGTAAAACTTTTTGAGAATTTGCATTCGGCAAGCAAGCGCGTTTATTCAAGACAATTATTTCAAACCACAATATGTCTGAAAGAGTTGTCATTGATTAAAATAAGACTAAATTGATTAAAATAGATATAACAGTGACTTTGGAATATCGTACTTATTTAGTGTAATTTAATATGAAGTATTCTTGCCAAAAAGGTCACAAAAGGTCACGTACGCACAATCTGGTGTCGTTTGAAACATACTTTAGCTAAAATAACAACTGGAACAAGAAGACCAACAATGGGGTCACGAAAACAGTCGAAATTGTGCCCAAATTTGCATAAACAGTTTGTCTAAAAAGATAACTTTACTAGATTCAACCAACATTAATGCGGTCGAATTTTGTGAGTGTTTGATCGCATATTTCTACTCAAAAATACCCTTTAAAAATCGTATCTGCTCACTTGTGTTCTGTGTTCATCTTTCTTGTGATTTCCGACTTCTATTTTTAATAAAGTTTGGAGAAATCCTCATCTTTTTGG